GAAATGGTTGAAGAAATTGACCCTGACGTCATTTAAGCAAAAATATATTTTTTTTATCCTCTTTGAAGTTGTCGAAATATTCTGTTATTTTTTCCTTCAGTAATGTAAGTCTTCTTTGAATGTAAGTATTGTGCAACCTTTGATGTCATAGTGTTTGAGGAAGAGTTTTTGACAATTTCCTTTATTTGCTCATTCGGTGTCATTGAAATCGGTAAGTTTTCACGATAGAACCAGTTTCTGTCAGATTTATAATCTTAGCTAAGTCATAAAAGCTCTTTTGTTTCTTCTGACTAAATGTAACATAACCATATCTTATCTTCTTCTTTCCAACTCTTCAGTATATATCATATACTTATAACTCTTTTCCTTTCCTTTTGGTACTGAACGCGGTATTCTTTTCTGTATGCTTTTGTCTTTGGATTCAATGACTTCATCTTTTGCATGAAGTTTCTTTTCCATCTCTCCACGTTCTGCTTTATATAGTTCATCTAACATCATGAAAATATAACAAGCATAACGAGGTGAAGCCCACATTGCTACAGCATTTACTAAAAGTCTATGAACATAATATCCTTTCAAACCAGGTGCCAAATTCTTGCGATTTTCGAATGGAATCTCTTCTCTCGGTTTCCGAGGAAGCAATCATATGAGGAAATTCTTCTAAAAGTTCTTTTGTCTGTTGGTTTTCAAACCAATGATATGCTTGCTTTGTAGAACGAAGAGCATTCATTATACTTTGCATTTGGTACATGTCATCTTTGACCGAACGAATGAGGCGAAGTTGTTTGTTATATTGTATGTATTCATATTCTTCATTTATGGCTTCATGAACGATAGCAGTTGTTGTGTTCTCTGATGTTGACATTACTGTCTTTACATACAAAATAAAAAATAAATAAAACTAACTTTATTTTCTGACTTTCACAAAAAGACCAAAAATAAACGCTTTACATGTATTTTCAGCAACTTCGTCAAATAATTTTATAGCTTTATCTATCTCATCTACTTCAAACGTTTCTTTACCTTTCATGGGAGCACCATACATTTTCTCAAAAACTTCAAGCAGTTCTGTTTCAGCAGCTCTCATATCATTAACGAACACAACTTGACTCTATTGACTGTACTGTCATATCTTTGAGTTATATTATATGTTCTTCCTATCTTATATCTCTTTGTATTGAAGTCCTTCGGTTTCTGAACGATGTAAAGTAAGCCTTCACTGCAACATTCTGAGTCGAATGAACCATATATTATGAAGTTATATCCAACAACTGGGTCTAACCATAACAAAACTATTGGTATAAGACTTTTGTCTATAAGATATGCTCTTGTTCCATGAAATGCTACTGATATCATAAGCTCAGGATTTCTTGTCAAAATTTTCTGAGTTGAAGCATTTCTAACCCAGTCGTTTGTTTTCTTTCCAGATGGAGATATAATGTCTGACAAAGAATATTTGTTGTATTTCTTTGAGTATCTTACGTTTAAATCACCTATTCTAACCACTTTGGTGTCATTGTCTATCTTTCTAACTGTTTCAAACTCAATGTTTGTCATTACTGTCTTTACATACAAAATAAAAATTTTTCTTAGAAAAAAATTAGCGTTATTTTTTATCTTAAGGAAAATTCATGATTTTTGTTGCTGAATTCAATAAAAATATATTTTAGGTGAAGAGGTGAGATCTCACCTCTTTTCTCACCTAATTTTTCACCCAGTTATTTTATAAGCGTTTTACATGGTAAACGTTATTTTTTAAATTTTGTGAAAACTCAACGGTTTGACACATGCCCTAAAAATTATTTTACTCAGAATTTTGTTGCTGAATTCAATAAAAATATATTTTAGGTGAAGAGGTGAGATTTCACCAGTTTTCTCACCTAATTTTCCCCCCAGTTATTTTATAAGCGTTTTACATGAATTGTACGATGTATATTTGAAATTCTAAACAATTTCGTAGCTTCTATTTCTTCTGTCAGTATGTCAAAAGTTTTAACAATGCCGAAAGTTTCTTTATACTTCTTCTTGACGTCAGATAGAAGGAAATCGTCAGCTGTTGGATAGTTTTTGTTCAGAAATGCTAACATGTCCATTTTATCTTCTGCTGGCTTCTCTACTTCTTTCTTTAAGTCAGCATAGTCGTTTCTCATACGTTCTATCTCTTTGACAGAATAGTTATATTTCCTAATTGCTGCTTTACATTTTGAACATTGCGGATTCGTTTTTGCGTTATACATTGAAATTTGACCTGCTAGAACAACTAAGGCGTCAATGGTTTTCTTTAACTCAAAAGTTGTTGGTTTTATTTGTCCATTCCATATTTTACATCTTTTATCTTTATCTCTTATCTGCCATACACATTCAGCAACTAATGAAACAAAGTTGTCGTATGTCTTAAACTCCCAGATTTATATATGTCAGAATTTTTATATACCATGTCGCAATCTTTGTTCATAACTTTATGGTTGCAATGAAAACCAAGAATTCATAGTTTACTTTACGTATGAACTTCTTTATTTCTACTGAATCAGTTGGTTTCACTTCTATTTCATCGAATTCATGAATAGTTAGTTTTTGCTGCTGAATTTCAGGCAATTTGGGTAAATGGTCAATAATGTCCTGCATGTCATAAAGATACTGTTCATTTGTTTCATCTTTCGCACTACAGTCTAAATTACTTGTTAAAAGTTCTTGCTTAATTCTTTGTATTTCTGTCTCAAAAGTATATGAAGAAGGAATAAAGCTTTTCATCTCTACCAACATTGACGTAGGATTCATGACTAGCGAGTTTGGTGCTGTAGTTGTTTGAATTGTTGTTGTGCCGATTGTTGAAATCATATCTTTTATACAAAATAAAAAATAAATAAAAATAAAACTAACTTTATTTTTTCTATCTTAAGGAAATTCATGAAAATTCACGAGAAAGCAAAAGCAATCTGAGCCACAATGCGGTGAGGGTGAGAAAACAGGTGAAAAAGGAGGTGAGAAATTAGGTGAGAAATTAGGTGAAATCTCACCTCTTCACCTAAAATATATTTTTGTCTGATTTACATCTAATGAAAAAGTTTAGAAGAATTTTCTTATTCTTTCTGGCATATTTTTGTCTTTCCAGTACTCCCGCTCTAATGGTCCCAGATGTGTTGGCTTCGACTCTCTCAAGTTCTTAGATGGTATAACATCTTCAACGCCTCCTTCATATCTTACTTTATAAGTGTCATCGTTTGTGTTATAGCCAAGTATTTCAATAACCACTCCTCGCTTTGCTTCGTCAATGGTTTCAGCAAGTTTGCCATTACTACTTTCGACTAATTTATGACGAGGGTAAAACGCTATGGAGTCGTCAGCAGCTTTTATAAGATATCCATTACCTTGCGTAGAGTCTATGATATAATAGTTTCGACTTAACCTTAAACGTTTCTTTGTCAACGGTTTGTCGTCAAGAACTACACGAACTTTTGTACCAGGAATGAGGGTAAATTGTGTTGAATTTCTGATATTTTGTGTTTGGCTTCGTTTCTTTTGTATATACTTTTCTTCTTGTTGTTGTGTCATTGAATTTGGTGTATGTCCTGTTGTAGAATGTGTTGAGGAATTATATACTTCGAGAAAATGTTTCATTGTTTCTTCGGTAAAGTCTCGCTCTTGGTTTAAATCTCTGAGCGTTCTTATGAAGCGGTTTATGATGCCGAGTATGTTATGGTTATGGTCTTCAGTAGTGTAGTGAGTTATGTTATGCTTAATGAGAAAATCTGTGATTTCATTGCTGAGGTATGCTGAATCCTGGTCTGATGTTAAAGTACTTGGACTATGTTCTGCTACAAACTTTTGTAAAACTCTTAACACTTCACGAGTTCCTTTGTTCCTCATTATATACGCAAAAGCTTTGCGAGTGTTAACATTTATGAAGATGAGGAATGGTTTATGTCCTCCTTTTCTGCTTTGAATGAGAGTGTCAAATTGGTATGCGTCAGGAGTGTTGGAGTAAATTGGTAAAAAGTAGTCGTAAGGGTTTATTTTTGTTTGATGTACAACATTTTTGTCAAAGAACTTTTTCACTTCAGCTCTGTTAGTAAATCCCCAACTTTTTGCTGCTTCATTGAACTTCTTAAATGACCTCCATGGTGTTGTTCGAATACTTCTTTCAAGCTCATTTATGTAAAGTTAAAGAGTTTAACCAACTCGTATCCAAGCGTGCATTGTTATATAAGGAGGCATATAATCTTTTCCATTACCTGCTGGGTCTGTAATACCAGCTACAACATGTGTATGATTTCCTGCAGTTCCACAGAAAATACCTGTGCTAACATCTTTGGGTCATCTGAGATATCATATCTATTCATTCCCCATCTATCCGAACCCGCTGCAAGATTTATATAACCTCTTTTTGTTATTGAATGTGAATGGTTTCCTTCCACAGATGTTCTTCCACTGAACCTATGCATATGTGAAGGAAGGTTTTCAATACCTATTTTCTTTGAACCTCCCATCTTCATTGACTGCGTATTAGTGTAGAATGGAAAACTGTCAACTATTTCATACCATCTACCACCAAATAAAGTGTTTGGATTTATTGGATTCATAGACGTATAAACAGCTCCTATAGGATATATTAAATCATATATGCTCATAACTCTATAAACATATTCTAAAGAACTTATGTCATTAAATACCATTTGGAATGTATCTCCCGGATGAAATGTTGCATTTGTTCCACTTTTATAATGTAATGTTAGTTCAATAGAATTATCCAAGAAAAATTCAAAAGTATCTGGTTGAAGACCTCTAACAAATTCAAATGGAGTTGCTGGTTCACCATTTATAATTTCTGTTGTAAATGTCATTGTATCTGGTTTCGAAAATTTCTTTGTTAGTTCTGCATCCACATAAGTTTTATCTGCTTTTTTATCTAACATTGCTTGTAGTTCATGTGTTTCAAAGTTTCTGACATGACCTTCAATGTTCATACATTTACTATTTAAGGAGTTTAGTGTATCTTTTACGCTTGTACTTGGATTCTCTAAAGGTGCACTTGAACCAAGGGTATAGTTCAATATTATGTCGTCTGCTCTAACAGTAGTGAAGGATTTATGTGTATGGTTCTTGTCGGCTTTACTGTCTAATGTAGCTTGAAGTTCATTTATATCGGAGATGTTGTGTTTATGAGATTTCAAAACTTTGTTCATTGCTTCGAGTTCAACTTTGTCAGCTTTACTTTTAATAGCATCTTCAAACGTTATTTTTGACTTAACTCTCAAAGTAAATCTTGGTTCAACTAATACACCTTTAACAGAGAAAGTAGAGGCATAAATTTCATCGTTATAACTAAATGCTTCTGGTGCTTTACCCGTGTCATACTGTACAGTACAGCTTATGTCATAACCTTTAGCACGAATGTATTTATATCTTCTTTCAGGGTCTTCCGTCTTCACTTCATCACTTCGTGTTAAATATCCATGGTAGTCCGTTATAATCTGTTCGTCTGAAGTTATATAATGAACGTGGTTCTTGACTTTATCACTCAGAGCTAAAAGCTCATTTTTGTCTGCTTTTTCGGCTAATTTCTCATTAACATCATTCACTTCTAATTCAACTCTTCCGCCAGAACTCTTATTATCATTAATCTTTTTCATTAATTCGGTAATTACGTCATAAAGACTATATTCTGTTTTCGGTTTTGTAAATAATGAGTCAAAATTTCTTTTCATCATTACATCGCTGACATTAATGATATCACCAATTCCTTTTTCATTTATTCTCTTCATTAATTCTGCAATAATGACGAATATATAATCTGTTAATTTATTCTCTTCATCGAGGGTTATAGAATGTTTTGAAATTGAATCATTAACTCCTCTAAATAAATCAATAACTTCAGGATACACGTTTTTAATGTCTCGAATAACCCGACCAGTATCCTGTTGTTCATGTTCTTCGTTCCCGTCGTTACGTGGTTTTATATCTCTAACCATCATCAACGCAGCCATAACCGGAGGGTTTGTTGCTATCTGTTCGAAAATCTGACCGTTATGTATGGTATATCTAAATAATTTCTTTGTGTTTGTTAAAACATTTGAAACAAGTCTTTTAAAACCATCTACAAAATTTCCTGTTTCACCTAATGTTCTTGCAGCATTTACAAGCTCACCCATTCCCGCTTTTGACCCCAAAAACGTCCATATTGCATTTATTTCACTCTGTATAGTTGTCCATTCAGCAAAACTAATACCCGCATTCGCTAAGCTGAAAATGAAATTCAGTGGATCGAACTTAATTCCACCTTCTTTTTCAATTTCAACGAACTCACTAACATGAGATTTTAAGTATTCTTTCGTTAAAATTGTTTTCCCCGATGTTATGTCATTAACGAAACTATCACCGTCAAAAGTTAACGAATTCAATTTCGTCGTTGATGCTTTTATTTCATACACCGCTTTATTGATAGTTTTTGGCTCACCTTCTTTAGAAGCATATGAAACATTAATGAATGAATTATATGTATTCGTGAATGAATTAAAATCAATGATTTTCATTAATGAAGCCTTTAATGATTCATTAACTGTGAATCCCTTAAAAGTAATTATGAACTGTCATTAATGAAAGGTACACTGCAAACCGTCGAGTTTGGATCAAATGCTGTAGTGAGAAGAGTATTAATGATATAAGTCATTAAATCATTAAGTGACGTAAATAATGTTGTTGTTTTTGATTTAATTTCTTTAGCATCTGTTATATATGGTAATTTTATTTCTGTAGTTTCTGAATTAAAGATATTCGCTAAAATGTTTTGTAAACTGTTTTGAACAGCTGTGTAAACCGTTGAATTCGGAACTCTTACGATTTCACCGTCCTTAATAAAGGGCATTGTACATGGTGTAGTGCTTGGGTCAAATCGTTCGGGATTATAATTCAACATATATTCTAACGCTTCATATACAGACTTATATACTGTTGTGTCGTTCTTCATGACAACTTCACCATTTACAATGAATGGCATAGTACATGGAGTTAAAATAGGGTCAAACTTTTCATAGTCCTTCCATGTTATGTATTTCTCGGTATTTCCATCACTGATAACAATATATTTGTCAGTAAGTGTGAGAGAGTATTGACCAAAATATAAACGTTTAGCTCTGTCAGCTTCATACGCATATGCAGCTATACTCATATTTTAATGAGAATAAAATGTTGTTCTATTTGCAAAGTACAGACCCAAACGAATACGGGACAGTAAAGCTACAAACAAACTTAGGTCTACAGAATGAGCTTGCATTCAGAATGGTTGACTTCAATACTATCGCTTCATTCGTTATAACAGATGAAACAGATTTCATGGAGCTTGAAATAGATGGAAAGAAGCACGAAATAAGATTTCACAATAATGTAGAATATAAGATGGAAACATTAGCTGGAGTGTTAAATGCTCTCATAAATACTACAATAAACAAGGATAACGAAGAAAACTTAATGAATGTTAAACTTATTGCAGGAGTTTTGAAGTTCAGTTATGCGAAGGAGTTTAAGATACCAAGAATGAGTCATAGAGTACAACTTCTTTTGGGAGCATACCATATGACATTTCCTTTGAAAAGTGTTGACAAAACGATTGAGATGAAATCTGTTCCATACGTATGTTATGGTAATTGTTTGTACATTGAGTCAAAAATAGCTAATGTCACAGGTATTTCAGGAGTTAATAGTAAAGGTTCAGTAGAATATAAATCCTTCTGTTATGCAGTCAATTCAATGTTCATTCCAAACGTTCCTGTCATAGCAACTCATTTAGGTAAATGGGTTCGCATTAGTCCTCATAATTTGAAAGACATGCAATTCAGACTTGTTGACTTTCAAGGAGAGCCTGTAGAACTGAAGGCACCAGTGCGAATGACTGTTGAAGTTGACTTTTTAGAAAATATTAAATGCAACAGCTTACAAGAGAACTCAGAGCTAAAAATATAAAGTATGAATGTTATGTATTAGGTCATGAACTTTGGTTGTTGCTGTTTGATGAAACAAATGAGTTAGTTATCGTCAGAGAACAGAAAAATATTGTGTTAGTGAAAACTGCACCAAGTCAATAGATTAGGTTTGCATTATGAAGATGAGTTCGATACTGTTGAAGAAGTTTTGGATAGATACTATAAGTTGCTTTAATTTACTAAAACATATTTCAAACAAAGCTTATAGTAGTAGATAGTTTTGTATACTCGTTCGAATATTTATACTTAAACTCAACTCCTGTAGTTCCTGGTGTTTCAATGATGGGATGTTACCTATTTTCATGAATATTGGCGTTTGACCACAGCATTCGATTTCAGGGTCGAGATAGTCAATGAACATTGCTTTCCTGTTATTCGTGATATAACATTTTCAAGGTCCTCCTTTGTTAGAATTATTGGTTCTTACTTATAAGATTTATCAAAAGCTTTTATCGTCTTTGAGTAAAATTGTTTGGTATAACTGAAGAAGAGTAATGGTCTACGTTATCTGAAGGATTTGTTTGAACATTTATGTAAGGGTTGTCGTTGGCTTCTCTTGAAAGAATTTGGTCCAGTGGTGGATACTCTAACTTAACATCTGATGTAGCGTTAGCGTTTGAAGCTGTGTTTAAATTCACGGATTTCAGCTCTGGTTCTTTTTCTTTCAAACACTCTGAACTATAGTTCTTTATGACAATATTGTTTGTCGTTCGTGAGTCAACATTTGATGTTGGTTCAATTGGAACATTAACGGCACCAGCTAAGATGGATTTGCTTCTCATTTCATATAGAATAAAAACCTTTTATATGTATGAAATGAACAATATACTCGACAAGGGTTTGAATGTAAAGCTAACGAATGAAAATATTGTTGAATTCACTGAGACAGGAGCTGTGTATAAAGATGTAGAACTACTGAACAAAAGAGCAAAGGGAAGAAGCAGGAATATGAACAAAGGGTGGAAGCCTATAAAAATTTATGTCAATGATGGCTCAGGAGGTTCAAACATAAAGTATGCAGAAAGTTATAGAGTTTATGCTCTCAAAGGTGAAAAGCCTTCATTTAAGAACAGCTATTCTAACGCATATCCTCAAAAGCTAACGGATGGGGAAGTGGATGATATGAATGACAGCAAAAATATTAACAGAAATGGCGACAGAGATGCATGGAATTTGTTTACCATCAGTCAATTGAAGGTTAAACTTTAAAACAATGTTGGTCGTTCCCATGGAATATTTTTGACTTTAATGGTATTAGTCATGATATGAATCTCAAGGTATGAACGAGGAGAGATGAGAGACTTATATGCTTCCCAAATTTCTTCAAAAGGTAATGTTATACCTGACTGTTTCCAAATGAGTTCAATATCATAACGTGAGAAACCTTGAAAGATAACGAAGTCAGTTATGAGACGTTTTATGTTTAAAGCAAAAACGCCATGTTTGCATAAGTATTGCTACAGTTAAATGGTAATGTCTGACTTTAGTTATGATGTTAGCTAATGGTGAGTCAGGCTTTGACACTAAACCTTTTCCGGCGAAGTCGTCACAAACGAGCAGAGTGTTTGAAGGATACTTTTTGAAGGGGTATTTTGAAAGTTTTGATAGAATGTAGTTTGTCAGTCGTTTCATATCGTAAACTCCTGAGTATTGACGTAAGTGGTGTTTGTCAATAATTCTTTCCATCTCTTCTGAAGTCTTTTGCATTCCTGACTGTATGAACTCTACGATGGCATAATATTTCTCTTACGTCGAATGTAACGTTGAAGAAATTCAATGAGTTCACTGTCTGGAACTTTAACGACAGAGGCTTGAACTTTTGACATAAATGTTTTCGCTGTTGAGTCCATAGAGTCTGAAGTTGCTGATATAATGATTTGGTCATAGTAAGAGTCGTTTCCTAAACGCTCTGTTATGAGTATATGACGAATGAGGTTAAATGTCTTACCTGAACCCATCTTTCCACAATAGAAATACACACCATTTGAACAGAACTCATAGTCCTTACTGAAAGGAAGAATGAGAGAAGAGTTAAGTTTGTCTGTAGTTTCATTCATGTCTTCATCTACGTCATGTATTAAATGCTTCATTTTATCTCCATTAAAAATGCAAGTCAGAAATATTCAGAACATAGCACCGAGTCTAACTGACAAGAGTATAAAGATATACTATGAACATGTTATGATGAAACCAACCAAAATTCAAGAAAGTCAGTATACTTATGAATATCCAAGACACTGGGTAGAGTATGTAGGAGGTGAGAAAGCTATTGAAATCAGACAGGTTCGAAGTATTCCAGCAGGAAGAACAATATTATTGAAGAACTTTAATGTTTTGAGATATAATGATGAAACAAAGAAGCAAGATAGTTTCCCTGTTGCTGTGTATGTGAACTAGACACAGGAGATGACATGAAAGTTTTTAATACAAAGCTTCAAACGGTAGTGAGAGAACAACTGACTGCGGAAGGACATCCATTACCTTCAGAAGTTACCATAGCATATAATTTTGAAACAAACTCAATAGATTTTAAAGTCGTCTCTGCAAAGAAGTCAGGTTTTACATTTAATGAAGCAAATGTATATTCGAATGAAAACTTACAAGCTATTGCATGGTTAGATAATGACGATTGCTTTAAGAAAATATTTAAATTCAGTGACTCAACGATGTCAATAGATGACCTTCGTGGAATGTTACCATCGACGTTTACAGTAGAAGGTTCAGCAGGATTGCTTACAAGATTGTCAATTGGTGGCGTTTGGTCTCGTGAGAACATTGTTATAAAATCCAGTATAAGTGAATTTGCTGAAGAATCTATATTATGTCTTTCAAACTACATGTATTCGCCGCCGAAGCATTATAGTATAACAAACTTTGTCAGTAAGTTTAACATAAGACTTGTCGAACCTTCTTCAATGAAAGATGTTGTGCTACCTAAAGATGGAAAGGATGGACTCATTATTGAGATGATTTTAATTGCATATTAAATGAGTTTGTTCTTGAAGGTCATTCATGATGAAATAACTGTTGTAGAAGATGTTAGCAATTGTTCAGACATTTTGAAGCGTATAGATGATATAAGAAATAAGTTAGATAGACCGCAAAGCGGTGAGGGCGAAGCCCGTGAGAACGTTTATGTTTCATTGACTTTCTCCAGTAACGAGAACTTTTATGAGATAATATTGAAGAGAGATGAATTTAATATGGTGTAAATGGTAGCTTGAACAGCTTTAGGCGCAATGGGAACAAAAGCATTAGCATTTGGAGCAAAAGCACTTGGAGCTTATGACGCAGTAAATAAAATGAGTGGAGGAAGGGTTTCAAAGACATTAGATGCAAATAAAGGAAAGATTGGAGGCTGGGTTGCAAAGAAGTTAAGATTAAATAAAATAGGGCTCATAAATAAAGCATCCAATTTGGTTGCGACTGAGTCAGAAAATGCTTTAGGAAAGGACGATGAGTTTGCAAAACACGCAAAAGACTTTAATGACCAGATGAAAGGTGAAACAATGCATTTAAATAGAGTCGATGGAACTAAAGAAAATGTTTCTTCTCCACCAGTAGTTCTTCCGTATGGTCCTTATGGAATGTATGGAAACCCTTACGAAAGACCATTTGACCCATTGACTGGTGGAAATAACTGGTATCATTACGGCCGAAGAAGAAAGACAGTCAAGTTGGAGACAGACGTGAAGAAAGCAACTAAAAAGAAACCAAGGAAGAGAGTTATAAAGCAATGAATTCAACAGGGTGAAAAAAGAGGTGAGAAAAGAGGTGAGATCTCACCTCTTCACCTAAAATATATTTTTGTGCTATGTTTTCATACGCGTGGGAGTGGTGATATCATTAATTTTTAAGTTTATTTTTTATTTTATTTTTATATAAATGACAGAACAAAAATAAAGCATATCTACTCAACAGGAATGAGACCCTTACTGACTATGTATTCGTTTAATGCTTGATGAAAACAATGGTACATATTATCGTATGGGTATACACAACGTCTGTTTCCATCGTCGTCGTATATGTAGAGCTCAAATCCAGTCCAACCTTCTTTTGTACAATATGTAGCTTTATTTAAGTATGCATTTATGTAGATAAGGCAATTTTCTTCATTGCTCCAGAAATAATTTTTGTTCTTTGTTGAAATAGTTTTCGTTCCTCTGCGACCATAAGGAATGTATGCAATGAATTTTGCGTCATATGGGATTGTAATATATTCAGGGTTTCTTTCATCGTCAATGGGTCTGTCTTTGTTAAAATGCATGTTTCTCAGTTTTACTTGAGTTTTGAATAGTTCACGGAAACGTTCTGGGAAAGAGTCATAGTAAATGTAGTCGGACATGTCTTTGTAATGAAATAAAAAATTTAAAAAAATAAAAATAAGGTTATTTTTATTTAGTGAAGTCGTTAGTGAATTCGTTAGTGAATTCGTTAGTGAAGTCGTTAGTGAATTCGTTAGTGAAGTCATTAGTGAAGTCGTTAGTGAATTCGTTAGTGAAGTCGTTAGTGAATTCGTTAGTGAAGTCGTTAGTGAAGTCGTTAGTGGTTGGCGGCTTTGTAAATATTTAAGGTTAAGTTGGTGTTATGGTTGTGTTGTAAAATATACGTTAACGGTTTTGTAAAGTGTCAGATTGACATATCTTCGGTAAGATGGTGCGCAGTGCCACAGTACTGAAGATAGTCATACTAACTTTAGATGGTGAAATAGATGAAACACTTTCAGAAGAAGGTACTAAATTTATACGTAAACATAAGTTACAATTTATTGATAATGAAGAATACCCTTGTATCTTACTTTCACCACCTTTAGATTCCGAAAAATTCAAAAAAGCTCTTAAAAACGTGACATATGCAACTAATACGATTAAGAAAGAAGATCATGATATTTACACAAATTATTATTTAAATAAATGCACGGGTGTTGATAAAGTTTTTGATTTATTAGATAAAATATCAAAAGAAACCATTGGAACATATAAAATTTTGTGTGATTGTGGTTTCATTATTGAAGATACCAATAATGTTTCATATGAAAGAACAGCACCGAAGGAAGACGAAGTTGAAAGGTCTATACCATTCGTTATTAAGAACATAAAAGATATGAAAACTTATAAACATTATATTTATTCATTTATTTCAGAAAAAATGGAAGCAACCCATAAAACATCTTCATCATTCATTTCTATAGCTATTCATACATTCCTTTTCAAAGTTGTGAAATTAAATAAGACAGGAATTAGATTTAATGTATCAGGGTACGCATTCTTGAGTAAATTAAAATGTATTCGTCACGTCGCAGATGATAAAAATTTATGTGTTCTTAATTCATTTTATGGGCTTTAAAAAATAAACTTTATTTTTATTTATTTTTTAATTTTTATTCTTACATAAATGAACAAAAACGGAACGCTAAAATGAATGATAATCAAATTAGAGCAGAAGGTAGAAGGTTATTTAAACGCTTCTATAACATTCCTGATGGTGTTAATCCTAAAACTCGTAGAAGTTATTTAAATGAAGCAATAGATTCATATGAAGGGTTTGACATTTCATCAGAAAGTGAGAGATTAGCGAGAATGTTAAATGTTAATATTGATTTCTATTATTGTGATCCTCAACCAGAAGACGTGGACATAAATAAGGTAGACTTTCCATTAGTGGAATCAATAATGATAGATCCAGAATTTGAAACAGTAAATATTTTATTAACACAGAGTCCATGTGGAAAACTTCACGCTGACAGAATAACAGACGTTGAAGCACTTACCGGCTATAGAGTTTGTCCATATTGTAAAGAAGAAGTTTATTCTATCCGTGATGATCCAGAAAGGAAAAACCAAAGAAGATTTTTAAAGCATTGTGAGAAATGTAAAGAAAATAATGGAAGATTAATTCAAGACGTTCAGTTGCAAAAGACACAGCAACCATATGCACCACATATTACGAAACAGAAGATATATCAGTGGTTATTAGCTCACAATTTGCAGAAATATTATAAACCGACAAGATATTATATTACTTTTGACTTCGAAACATTAGAGACTAAAGAAGAATTACAACTTTCTGAGTGTGCAACTTTGAACGCTTACTTAAAACCATTCATGGTATCATCAACGGTTAAATTAAATGATAAAACATATACGAGGAATTTTTGCTTAACTTCAAGTGATTCTTTTATTTCTGATTGGATTGAGTTTTTATTTTCAACCTGTTCATTAGTTGCTAAATCAAATATTGAACAATATGAAGAATTAATGAAGTCGCAAACGGACCAAACGGCGGGGACTTTGTCTCATACATTAAATGAAAAACAGAAGGAAGCATTTAAAGAACTTCTAGATGAGGAATTCAATAAAGTGAATATCATAGGTTTTAATTCGGGAAAGTTTGATTTAAATTTAATTCTTCGTGATTTAAACACTGCAAAATGGAAAATAAAATCAATGCTGGGTTCATCTTCACAATTTAAGCAAATCATTGTAAAGAAAACAAACGTTCCATATGAATTGAGATTTATTGACATCAGAAATTATATAGCGGGTGGGACATTAGACCAATTCACTCAAGATTTCGGAAACAATAAATCACGTGTTAAATCCTTTTTCCCTTATCAATTCATCACGTGGGAAAATTACGAAGAAGAATTATATAAAGAGGAACCATTCACGAAAGATTCATTTTATTCAGCATTAACTCAAGAAACTATATCAGATAGTGATTATCAAATATATCTCAATGATGCTAAAAACTTTAAGAATAGATTAGAATATTTTATTCATTATTGCAATAAAGATGTTGAAATTATGATTGACCCAATTGATAAAATTATTGAAGAAACATTTGTTTATAAAATTGACATGCTTCATAATCTTTCTTTATCATCGAATGCTTCAATGATTCGTTACGCTTTAGCATATAAAGACTTTAATCCTAATGAAAAATATCCTGAGGAAGAGATAGAATCAAGTTTTGAATTAACGAAAAAGTATTGGAAATATAAAATTGAATCATATAAGAAACAAGATGAAAAAGCAGAAAGGGATACTAAAAATAATGTTTCAATGGATGATTTTCAATACTATCACGATTTAATCCTTTCATCTAAATGCAAAATGTGTGGTAAAGCGTTTACATATGCAAATAAACCAACATTGGATAGAATCGATAATGAAAAACCACATACCAAAGAAAATTGTCAGTTAATGTGTTGTTATTGCAATGTCGTGAAATCAAATAAAGATGAAGATGTTCAACGTTTAAGAATCAATTTAAGAAATTATGCATTAAAAAATAATTTACCAATGACTTTAGATTCAGTTGAAGCTTATCACATTCTCCGTAATGGAATTACTGGTGGTTTATCAAATGTTCAACATCGTGTTAATCTTAAAGGAATCACGCACATTAATAAACTTTCATATAATCCAGAAACTAAAACTGTATCAAATGAGGACACCACCAACATTATGACTCATTTCGTTGGTGTTGATTTTAATTCATTATATCCTTCATCATTTTCATCTAATCCTCATGATTTCATTCAATATACTGACCATAAAATGTATATGCCGGGAAGATTGAATGGTGTTATCATTTGTGATACAGCAACAAAGAAAGCAAAAGCACTGGGAATAATTAAGAAGAAAAATACTTTATTCGTGGCTGAAGTAAAGGGTCACATTGATGAAAAATACATTAATGATTACATAAACTTTTTACCGATAATAAGAAACTTAGATATTATCACAGATGAAAAAACAATTGGCAGTTTTATGTATAATTACATGAAATCAAACAATCTACCAGTTGACCAGAAACAGAGAAAATTAACTCAGTTAGCATCAACACACAACCAATATCAACCATTTTCTTCTTATTATCTTTGGTATCTAATCGACAGATTTCATTTTATCATTGATGACATTCAATCAATTTTAACATTTACGAAAAACACTTTTTTAATGAATTTGCGAACGAATTTATGAACGAAAGACAAAAGGCTGAATTAGAAGGAAATAAAGGAAAAAGTTTATTTTGCAAGATTTCACTTAATGGATCATATGGTTACGATGCAATGAATACACAAAATTACGCAAAGACTAAAATAATGAATGCACAGAAGGCACGCGTTGCATGTATGTCAAATAAGTTTAAAAACATAAGAGAAATAGGTGAAGATACATATCAAGTGATGCTTAAAGATAGATTTTATAGATGTGATACATGTTTACAAGAGGCATTCTTCACTTTAGATAATGCTAAATACTGGTATTTGGTTTTCATTTATGATTTTATGTATAAATGCATGGATGTTAATCGTTTTCATTTCATTGAAGGTGATACTGATTCATCTTATTGGGCAATCGCTGGCGACCCAAATCTTCCTAACACTCAAGCATTTCAAGCAATTGTTACCGATAAAAAATTTTATGATAAAAACATTTTCAAATTCGCACCATTTGATTTCTTCTGTTTTGATGAGAAATTTAAACCTAAATTAAAGAATAAAGCTGAAGAAAAAGCACATGAGAAAAAATTATTGGGTTTAGCAATTGAGAAACAAGGTGATAACATGGTTGCTTTATGTCCTAAGTGTTATACATCATTCAACGGTTCAATTGATGGAAGTGATTTTAAAAAGATTGCACAAAAAATGAAGGGTGTTAGTTTAAGACAAAATAAGCAATTAACACCTAAAAAATATTTGGATATAATAAATGATAAAGTGATATTTGATGGTCAGAATATTAATTTACAACTTAAAAACGGGTCAATGACTCGCTTAACAATCGGTAAGACTGCATTAACAGGAGCACACACTAAGGCTGTATGTTGTGAAAATGGATGTTGTATGCCATTTATTTAATACAATTTAAAATTTTATTTTTAATGAAATGCCACAGAAGAGACAAAAGGAACTGTTAATGATGGTTTTGATACTATGATTCAAAGAGGTGGGCACCCTTAAACATTTATTTTATTTTTATATAAATGGATAACACAGATTTAAAAAATTTAATTTATGATTTAGTACTTAATCAAAATTTTCTTGATTATTATGATTTAAAAGCATATCTCCAAAAATATGATAACAATATAACGGGTGATGATATGAAATATTATTATCCATATTATAAAAATGAAATTTTGAAATATCATGATAGAATAATTTCTAAAATTAAAGACAAAATTAAAAATAATGAATATTCAAAGGGAAAAACTAAATCACAACTTAAACAGTTGAAAGATTTCAAAAATAAAGTATTAACAGAAGAAGATATTGATGAATTATATAAATTATATAATCCTGAGCCGCAAAAGCCAAAGGAACAAAAACAAAAGGTGCAAAACACCCAGGTCCTTCAGACCATAAATGAAGCACAAGCTTTAATTTATGATTCATTAGTTAAACCATATTCAGCCCGACTTTTAAATGAAGATCAACTTTTGGAATTCATCCTTCAACATAAACTCGAAGCTGGAAAGTATATCAAACCTTTATATACAGCATATTTAAAACAAATGAATAGAATACATCCAGAATTAATGAAGGGGGGAATGAATTCCAAAACTTCATCATCCAAAATCAAAGCAGATAAAATTAAACCACTTGCAACACCAAAACCTCCAACGACAGTACCGCCTCCTCCTTCAGTTAATCCTTCATCATTCACTTTATTATATCCATTTCAAACATTAAAGAAACAAAAAGATTTTAAAAAGGGTTTCAAGATATTAAATAAACCAATTGACCCGAAAATTCAACCGTTAAAGGAAAAATTTAGTCGCCCTTCATTTGCTCCATATCCATATTCATACGAAATCGATCATTTAGAATATTCAAAAGGAAACGTTACTTATTTATTTGCCATTAACATTAACACTAGATATTTATATTGCATTCCAGTGAAAGGGAAAACAGAACAGGAAACAAGAAGAGCTATTCAATACTTACTAGATCATGAAAGAGTAGATAATATAAGGGGTGATGGTGATAAAGGATTTCAGGCAACTATGACTCATTATTTCCCACAAATTAATTTTTTCTTTTCATCCTCTCCATATACGTTTCATAAAAAATAGTTGATGCGGTAATGAGAACTCTTAGAGATGCGTTAGGGGTTAACGGTCAGATATACTGGGATGGAAATCATGACTCCATCATACAACAGTTAGTATATTATTACAATAATACATGGCATAGAACTATAAACATGAAACCAGTGGAAATGAAAAATGATATTTCAAAAGAATGGGAATATATTAGAAAGCAAATGGAAAGGTTGAATGATGTTAAACGTGAACAAATTAATTCGGGGCTCATGAATTTTAAACAAGGGGATAAAGTTTTGATTCATCTCGATTATGGAAAAACTGATAAATCAATGACAAAAAGAAGACGAAGATTTGACACAATAGCTGAATTTGTTAGATATATTAACGGCAATGCATTAGTTGAAGTTGACAATAAATTAATAGAAATTCCGATTTATTTTATTACTCCATTATATTTAAATAATATTTAATTTTTTTTTATTTCGTAAGAAATGAGTGACAACAAAGCGTCCAAGAGTCCAGACGATGAATATAAAAAGAAACTAAACAGAATTAAATCAAAAATATGCTATTACAAAAAGAAGTCGCAATGTGGTGGGGTTGAAAACGATAAGGAAATAATTGAAAAATTAGAAACTTACCGTTCAATCCTTAAACTGAGTGAAGCAAAAATAAAAGAATTTAATAGAATAAATAAATTGGTTGGAAGAGATGAATTTAATAAAGATGAATTTTTAAACTCAATCCAAATTTAATTTTTATTCCTCTTTGACAACATCTCTCTTTCCATCATTACTGCATAACCGCATTTTCTCAGTTTTAGCGGTTTGTTATTTTTAATTCGTTCTTGCATCATTTTTATCATTTCCTCCCTTGTTATGATTCGTGGTAAATTTTGAGCTTGTGGGGTATTCATTTAGATAAAAATAAAAATTTGTTATCAGTTATTTTATCGTTAAGTGACTCAAAGAGTCCGGAGACAAAGTCTCATGGTTTTTAGGTCATTCAATAATGAATTATTTTTGAAGAACTGAAGGGGTCACCAGGTCACCAGGTCACCAGGTTATTTAACTTCTCTGAAAAAATGAGACAACATGACATTTTGACAACACAGCAGGAAATGATTTGTCATGACTTCATCGTAAATGATTTGTCAAAACTTCATCGTAAATGATTTGTCATGACTTCATCGTAATGAGTGTAAATCAGACAAAAATATATTTTATCGTTAATGTTTACGTTAATGTTTTGTGAAGAATATAGCAACCGCCGGAATTCAGACGGTTGTTTTTTTATACAAAATTCATGCAGGAAATTCTTGAGTTTTGGTTGAAAGAATACGGTCGAGCCACTTTTGGCTCCACCTCAAAACAAGCATTTTATGAGCTTACAAAGGGTGTTATAAATGAATTCAAAGGTATTTACATACATCCTGACCTCGTTCATTTTGTTGCTGAATTCAATAAAAATAATGAATTTCATTAGTTAGAAAAATAACGCTAATTTTTTCTAAGAAAATTTTTTATTTTGTATGTAAGAACAGTAATGACAAACATTGAGTTTGAAACAGTTAGAAAGATAGACAATGACACCAAAGTGGTTAGAATAGGTGATTTAAACGTAAGATACTCAAAGAAATACAACAAATATTCTTTGTCAGACATTATATCTCCATCTGAAAAGAAAACAAGCGACTGGGTTAGAAATGCTTCAACTCAGAAAATTTTGACAAGAAATCCTGAGCTTATGATATCAGTAGCATTTCATGGAACAAGAGCATATCTCATTGACAAAAGTCTTATACCAATAGTTTTGTTATGGTTAGACCCAGTTGTTGGATATAACTTCATAACATATGGTTCATTCGACTCAGAACGTTGCAGTGAAGGCTTACTTTACATCGTTCAGAAACCGAAGGACTTCAATACAAAGAGATATAAGATAGGAAGAACATATAATATAACTCAAAGATATGACAGTACAGTCAATAGAGTCAAGGTTGTGTTCGTTAATGATATGAGAGCTGCAGAAACAGAACTACTTGAAAAGTTTGAGAAAAGGTATGGTGCTCCCATGAAAGGTAAAGAAACGTTTGAAGTAGATGAGATAGATAAAGCTATAAAATTATTTGACGAAGTTGCTGAAAAATACATGTAAAGCGTTTATTTTTGGTCTTTTGTGAAAGTCAGAAAATAAAGTTAGTTTTAAAATTATTTTTATTTTGTATGAAATGACAGTAATGTCAACATCAGAGAAGAATAGATGGTAAACAAACATGGTGTTATGTTTTGAAAGAAGAAATGAAAGGATTATATAAACAGGTTGAACCAAACGATAATGAGGATTCATTTACTGACGATGAAATACCTGTAAATGATGCTTTATAAAGTATGATTTGAATTCATAACTGCCTTCCCCTGCTGTGTTGTTGTCAAAATGTCATGAGGTTAGAAATGAGGTTAAAAGCTTGGGGTCGTTTTGTACAAAAATATTGTGAGTAAATGAACTCATTATTTTTGTCATAAACGACCAAAAATATATTTTATCGTTAATGGTTTCAGGTTATTCAATAATTAATTATTTTTGAAGAACTGAAGGTGTCACTACGTCACCATGTGTCACTCGGTTAATTAACTTCTCTGAAAAAATGAGACAACATGACATTTTGACAACAACACAGGAAATAAATGTTTACGTAAATGTTTTGTCATGATTTCATCGTATATGCTTTGTCAAACATGAGCGTAAACTCTATGTCAAACATGAACGTAAATGTTTTGTCATGACTTCTTCGTTAATGTTTTGTCATGATTTCATCGTATATGTTTTGTCATGACTTCATCGAAACTAAACATAAACTCTATGTCAAACATGAGCGTAAACTCTATGTCAAACATGAGCATAAATGTTTTGTCATGACTTCATCGAAACATGAGCGTAAACTCTATGTCAAACATGAGCGTAAATGCTTTGTCAAAACTAAACGTAAACTCTATGTCAAACATGAACGTAAACTCAATGTCAAACATGAGCGTAAATGATTTGTCATGATGATTTCATCGTAATGAGTGTAAATGACCCAAAAATATATTTTATCGTTAATGGTTTCAGGTTATTCAATAATTAATTATTTTTGAAGAACTGAAGGTGTCACTACGTCACCATGTGTCACTCGGTTAATTAACTTCTCTGAAAAAATGAGACAACATGACATTTTGACAACAACACAGGAGGAAGGCAGTTATGAATTATTTTTGAAGAACTGAAGGTGTCACTACGTCACCATGTCACTCGGTTAATTAACTTCTCTGAAAAAGTGAGACAACATGACATTTTGACAACAACACAGGATTAATGCAAAAATAAATTCAAATCATACTTTATAAAGCTTCATTTACAGGTATTTCATCGTCAGTAAATGAATCCTCATTATCGTTTGGTTCAACCTGTTTATATAATCCTTTCATTTCTTCTTTCAAAACATAACACCATGTTTGTTTACCATCTATTCTTCTCTGTTTCTTATCACATTTATCCTTAATACTCATTTGAAAATTCTTGTCTTTCATGTCTGATGGTTTGCAGAATAGAGCATTTTTACACGTCATACCTGCACACAATTCATCATAATGTGTATTTATCCATACATCTAAAGGATTTGTTGATAATTCAATTAAATCTTGTTTGGTTTCAGTCATCGGTATGATTCGTACATTAAATGATGAAAGGTCATATTGCATAAAATATGTTAGTAAATTATCATAAAATTCCTTTGTGCATGAATCCATTAAATTCTTGAAGTAATCAAATTGACCCTTAAATTTACCATTAACCCTTAAAACTACGTATCTTCTGTCTCCAACTTCAATTTTGACAGGGTAAACGTTATTAGTTACGAAAATGAAGTTTGCAAAATTCTGAGCAGTTCTTCTGGGTTGATTCTTTTCATTAATTCTAATCTCATTATCCGTTATAATTGATTTCAAAGCGTTGAAGTTTGCGAGTCTGTCTTCACCTACATTCTTGAGTTCATTAAGTACAAGAAACATTTTATTTTCAACAACTGAATTGAAATTACCCGTTAGCTCACTTATTTCAGTAATGTTTTTACATGAATAACCAGCGAGAAGTTCAGAAATAATGTCCGTGAATCTGTTTTTACCTGTTCCCTGAAGTCCTTTCAAAATAATTGCTGTTTCATTCTTGATTCCAGGATGTTGAATCATTGATGCAATCCAGCCGAGAAGGTATTTATACACTTCATCATTATTATCACATATGGCTTCTTTAATGAAATTCATAAACATCTCAATTTTTGAGTAATCAAGCTTTTCGAGAATGTTGTATTTATAACCCTGAAACGTTGAGAAAACATCTGGAGAATCAGATTTAAAGCAAACACCCTTAACAGTTAATGAAGACAATTGATTTAGTAGTACATCCCATGCTGTTATTGTTTTACCTTCTTCTTTAAATAATTTAATCATTTTAAGTGACTCTTTCATGTTTGATTGAAGAACGAATGATATTTGATTCATTTTGTCGTGGATATTATAATCTTTCTGAATGAAGTATTTGTTTCCACAATCTACAAAACGGATTACACGTGATAAATCCTCAATTACTTCAGAACTGTTTTTATACTGATGATTTTCAGCCTTGCGTCTAATATCTGTTATCAAAAACGAGTCATCAAGTTTTATATCAAATGTTATTTTTGGCTTACGTAATAAAGGTAAAACATATTCATCATAATATTCCTTTTGATATAGTTTTAGAATCTTCACCAAAACAAATGGAGAAGTCATTAAATGTGCATATCTACTACGTGCTTTTTCAAAATTACTTTTTGCATTTTCTGTTAAGCTGCAGAAGTTATAAACGTTATCGTATGCTTCATTAATTAAATGATTAGGTAACGAATTAATTGCTTGAAACAGTGTGAATAATGTAACTTCTTTTTCCAAATTCATGTTTCCACCGTCATTATGTACTTCAAAATCACAGATGCCATCAACTATGCTCTGGGCAAGTTTATCGTCAATGTTTACATCTTTGTTTTCATTCATGATAGTCTTTATTTCTTCGTTCTTCTGTTCAACTCTTACCTTAATATTCAAATCATTTAATATATCATTCACTGTTCTGGTTAATGTTGAATCATAACTTCCACGAATGAATGAGTATGTATTGATTGGTTCTGATGCATTCTTGCGAACTCTTGAATCAGCCATAACCACTAAAGAACGCTTTGAATCATCCATAGAAGTCATTATATCAATATCATAATCATTGCAGGAATAACATTTAATCATTCTGTTCGAAACTGAATAGAAGAAATTAGTGTTGCAATAAATGTGAAGACCTCCTGAAGCGGTTTTAACGAAACATCTTTATCCGAAAGTTTTGATAAAATATCTTTTCTAACTGTTTCTTTAAGTTCATCATTGTATGATTTATTGATATCAACATCTATAATCGTTAAATTTGAAATTTTATTTACTAATAAAGCCATACCAGTTTTCCTTCCTCTTCCTCCATCATGTTTGAGGTAGTTATGTAAATCAATCTTGTTTTCACCAATTCTTTCGTTGAGGGTTTTAGTTTCTGCCACAACTAATTCCTCAGCTAATGAATCAATAACTTGTTCATCAGAAATGATAAAGTTACTGTTGTTGTTTGTTGCTGTCATTTATATAGGAATAAAAAATTAAAAATAATTTTAAAACTAACTTTATTTTTGGACTGCATCATATTTCCAGGACTGTTGTCAAAATGTCATGTTGTCTCACTTTTTCAGAGAAGTTAATTAACCGAGTGACACATGGTGACGTAGTGACACCTTCAGTTCTTCAAAAATAATTAATTATTGAATAACCTGAAACCATTAACGTAAACATTTATTTTTGTCTGATTTACACTCATTACGATGAAGTCATGACAAATCATTTACGATGAAGTCATGTCAAAATGTCATGAGGTTAGAAATGAGGTTAGAAATGAGGTTATATCTAACCATCTACCCTAAAAATTATTTTACTCAGAATTTTGTATAAAAAAACAACCGCCGGAATTCAGACGGTTGCTATATTCTTCACAAAACATTAACGTAAACATTAACGTAAACATTAACGTAAACATCATATTTCCAGGACTGTTGTCAAAATGTCATGTTGTCTCATTTTTTCAGAGAAGTTAATTAACCGAGTGACATGGTGACGTAGTGACACCTTCAGTTCTTCAAAAATAATTCATAACTGCCTTCCTCCTGTGTTGTTGTCAAAATGTCATGTTGTCTCACTTTTTCAGAGAAGTTAATTAACCGAGTGACACATGGTGACGTAGTGACACCTTCAGTTCTTCAAAAATAATTCATAAATGCCTTCCTCCTGTGTTGTTGTCAAAATGTCATGTTGTCTCACTTTTTCAGAGAAGTTAATTAACCGAGTGACACATGGTGACGTAGTGACACCTTCAGTTCTTCAAAAATAATTAATTATTGAATGACCTAAATCATGAGACTTTGTCTCCGGACTCTTTGAGTCACTTAACGTAAACATTTATTTCCGCAGTTCATTACCTAATTAATTACAGACATAAAATATATTTAGTTCATTCGGTAAGCCTTAACCCAAAGGTCTGGGCTCAAGTGTGTTTATTGAACTCTATACCATGCGAATACAGTCATAAATGGTGGCATGTATTCTTTACTTTGTCCCGTTGTTTGTGTATATCCTGAAACGAAATGTGTATGGTTGCCTTCTCCCTGAGTGTCATCCCAGTAACAATTTATAGCAAACTTAACGTCGTCTTTAACATCATATCCTTTACCTTTTGTCATTCCTGACCAATCCCAATATCTATGCTTATGCCAACCTGCTTGAGATGTACTTAAATCTATGTAGTGACTGTGTGCAGGTAAATTTTCACCTGAAATCGTTTTACTTCCCCCTGTTTCCTTTGAAGAGTTTGCACAATACAAAAACCTGTCAACTATTTGTTCCCATGCACCAACACCAAACATTACTTGAGGACCTCTTGCATCCATAGATGTATAAATAGAACCTACTGGGTTCATTAAATCAAACATATGAGATATTATAGGATTGTCTCTTTTGAACTTAAAATATAGTGCAACTATTTCAGGTTTCTTCTGGTTTGTGTCAGAATATTTTTATAATATAATCTTATGTTTTCAGGGTAGGTAAAATCTTGACTATAATATTTATTTCTGTCATCTGTATAATAATATACTATTCTCGTTTTTCTATTGCATTATATCTTTATATCTATAATAATCTAAATATAATGTTAGCTTTTGTTCATCTACACGTGGTGTTCTGTCGTCATCTCCATAGTCATAATAATATGGTGCTGGAGCTGGGTCAGGCAATGTCATATCTACCATTTCATAAACTCTTAAATATTTCTTTTGTTCGTCTCCATATAAGTTTAAGTAGCAGTTGTTGTCTAATGGAACTTTAACTTGTGTACCATCATTCTTTTTATAGCTTACATACATTTCATTGTTATTTTTCGGAATGAGTTTATGCCGTGTACCATTTTTTAAGGAGTGTACAAACTGCCATCTAAAATATTTATTTTCTTCATTGACAGAAAAATCACCAACAATAGTTTCAATATTTTTTGTTCCTATCAAACTTTGGTATATTTCGTTAACATATGTTTTATCCGCCTTCTTCTCTAACTCATCGTTAACATATGTTTTATCTGCTTTAAGGTCTAAACATCCTGAAACCCATTCTGTATCAGCTTTAACTTTAAAAGTCTCCGATGTCCATTCATGATACCATTCAACCTTTTCTTTAATTTCATTATCTTTTTCATCAACATAAATAAATTTAATTGACCAATCCGGTTTAATTATTTTACCTTATGAATCATTAATTCACATTATCGCCATTCTTTGTGATGTTCAAGATTCAGACGTTAAGATTCAATTTTTCATAGATGATGAGGTTTCATGCTGCGGAACAGTTGCAAAAATAAATCCTATAAAGGATATTAGCACAATTAAGATATCAAAGAACGGAACAACAACTGAACTTCATTTAACATATAATGATATTTATAATAAAATAGTTGATGAATATAAAATATCACTTGAAAAATTCTTTGTTAAGGCTATTTAATATTCAAGCATTAACATTATCGAATAATAATCCTTTGAATCATAATCAATAATAATTGACCTTTCACCAGTTTCTATCGTTTGTTTTATTTCTTTTTGTTCCCCACTATCCGGATCAGTCATTGTAATTGTTTTTGTTATAGTATCAGCTTTATCTTTAACTTCAATCTTTTTTCCATCGGGATATTTAAACCAAAATTCCAAAAATTCGATATTGTCAATCTGTTCATATTTTAATCTATCAATTACATTTTTAATACCATCTGAAAATCTTATGAAATGGTCATTATATGGGTTTGATTGAACTAAATTTGAATGAAGTGAAATATAACCTGTTGATGAATATGACATTGACTCATATTTTCTGAAAACACTAAAATTTATAACATGAATGAATTTCTTATTCGCTGAATTTATGAATTCTTGAGGTAATCTTATTCTAGTTTTATTTATCACTGGAAAATAACGCTTTACCATATTTTTAATCGTAATAAAAAATGTCAATTATCAATATTATTTCGAATAATAGCTGTGAATTAAATTTAACAGTTAGCGGAATTTATAATGTTACTCTCGTTTCTGTGAGTGGTAAATTTAATCCCATTCTTTTAGACCCTTCAGATTATATATCATTTATTAAAGATGACCTTGAAAAAACGTATGATATGTATATAAATAATAATGTGATAGCGAAATGGGATATTAACATGATTTTAAGTTATTTAAATGAATCATTTATCGTATGGTATGAAGAAAATTTTAAATCAAAACCTGATAAACTTTTTGAACTTGATGAAATAAATAACCTTATTAAATTTCCGCTGAAAATTAAATTTTGTACTCCTCATCTTCGTTCATTGTTGGGGATATTAAATTTTGAAAAAGATGTTGGGGATGTTTTGTATTCTGACACCGGTTCCAATTTCATTTTAATCAAATGTGATAAAGTTAATACCCCAATGAGATTTTCACACCAAACATTAGACCATAACTCTTACCCATCAATACAAAACATTTTATCCATCAACTTAAACACATTTTCTTTATCATATCCGTTTCAATTATCCGGGAATTCATTTATTCTTCATTCAAAAGATTTATCAAATATTAAATTTAGAATAACTGACCTATTTGATTGTGATTTAGAATTCATGAATGAAATATTATGGCAATTTCAAATAGAGAAAATAGCTGATGAGATAACGGATTAAATATTTATTTTTAAATCATAATAAATGATTAAACAACGGCAACTTAAGGCGCAAAGCGCCCAGGTCCTTCAGACCATTACATACGCCATATATGCATATAATTCAAAGACGGCAGAACAAACGCAAAGGTTGAAATATGGAGATTTGGAGATAGTATTGAAAAATGACCATTTCGAATTCGTTTGCAAAGGTGGTGCAGTGATATCAAATATAAAAGAAATTTTATTTATGAATTCTAAAATTAAAGGAATAACGGATGATATAACATCAATTCCACCAGAAGAACAGAGATATTACGCATTAAATGCATTTCCTAAAGTTTTGAAGATTGGAAGATTTAATTTAAATGAGGAATTCATAGAAGGTTTCCTAAACGACATAATGAAGAGGGTGGATAAGGAATATGTGGATAGTGAGTTAGAGAAGAAGGCAAATTTGGTTTATGTTGATGAAAAAGATAATGAAATTAAAGAAAAGGTTGAATGGTATCATGAATGGACATCGGAGACTTTTAAAGTTAAAGCTGATACAGGATGGGTTTCAGGATGTTTAGATCTTAAAGCAGATAAGAACCATACACATAACTTCTTCTCAACTGTTGCTATAGAAAGTATTGAAGGAACGGTTGACGGAACTGATTGGGATGCATTATATTATAAACCTCCTAACTTTCCACAAGGTTTAACATCGAATGAAAACATAACAACGATGAAAAAAATTAAATGTAAAAATGTTTATGTCATGGATGATGAAAATAAAGTTAAATTCACTGCTCAAGATTTATATGATAAGAAAGCTGACAAAACAGAGCTTCAAACATTAAAGACTGAAATACTTCAAACATTATATCCTGTTGGTTCTTTATATACATCAATGAACTCAACAAATCCATCAACAGTTTTAGGTTTTGGTATGTGGAAGCAGATTGTAGATAAATTCTTATACTGTGCTAGATATTCAAAGCAAACAGGAGGTTCGAAGAAAATTAAAGAAGCAAACCTTCCACCGCACACTCATACGGGAACTACAAACTTTTCTGGCGACCATAGCCACTCATTAAGAGACCACCCATTATACAACTCAGACTATGAAGCTGGTCATGACGTTTTATCTCCATCTTATAACGATTCAACAAAAAAGACTTTTCGACAAACTGAACCGGGGGGAAATCATGTCCATACTTTCACAACAAATCCAACAGGCTCGGGTAAAGATTATATGCCACCATTTGTGACTGTATTTGCATGGTACCGCGTTCATTGAACTAAATATATTTTATGTCTGTAATTAATTAGGTAATGAAGTAATGGATGAACTGCAGAAATAAATGTTTACGTTAATGTTTACGTTAATGTTTACGTTAATGTTTTGTGAAGAATATAGCAACCGTCTGAATTCCGGTGGTTGTTTTTTATACAAAATTCATGCAGGAAATTCTTGAGTTTTGGTTGAAAGAATACGGTCGAGCCACTTTTGGCTCCACCTCAAAACAAGCATTTTATGAGCTTACAAAGGGTGTTATAAATGAATTCAAAGGTATTTACATACATCCTGACCTCGTTCATTTTGTTGCTGAATTCAGTAAAAATATATTTTAGGTGAAGAGGTGAGATTTCACCAGTTTTCTCACCTAATTTTTCACCTCCTTTTTCACCAGTTTTCTCACCCTCACCGCTTAGCGGCTCAGATTGCTTTTGCTTTCTCGTGAATTTTCATGAATTTCCTTAAGACAGAAGAAATAAAGTTAGTTTTATTTTTTTATTTTGTATAAAAGATATGATTTCAACAATCGGCACAACAACAATTCAAGCCACGAACGGCGGGACTCTGTCCACAACTACAGCACCAAACTCGCTAGTCATGAATCCTACGTCAATGTTGGTAGAGATGAAAAGCTTTATTCCTTCTTCATATACTTTTGAAACAGAAATACAAAGAATTAAGCAAGAACTTTTAACAAGTAATTTAGACTGTAGTGCGAAAGATGAAACAAATGGAGAGGAGCTATATGAAATGCAAGATATCATAGACCATTTACCCAAATTACCGGAAGTTCAGCAACAAAAACTAACTATTCCTGAATTCGATGAAATAGAAGTTAAAGTTACTGATTCAGTAGAAATAAAGAAGTTCATACGTAAAGTAAACTATGAATTCCTTGGTTTTCATTGCAACCATAAAGTTATGAACAAAGATTGCGACATGGTATATAAGAACATCTCTGACATATATAAATCTGAGGAGTTTAAGACATACGACAACTTTGTTTCATTAGTTGCTGAATGTGTATGGCAGATAAGAGATAAAGATAAAAGATGTAAAATATGGAATGGACAAATAAAACCAACAACTTTTGAGTTAAAGAAAACCATTGACGCCTTAGTTGTTCTAGCAGGTCAAATTTCAATGTATAACGCAAAAATGAATCCGCAATGTTCAAAATGTAAAGCAGCAATGAGGAAATATAACTACTCCGTCAAAGAGATAGAACGTATAGAAACGACTATGCTGACTTAAAGAAAGAAGTAGAGAAACCAGCAGAAGATAAAATGGACATGTTAGCATTTCTGAACAAAAACTATCCAACAGCTGACGATTTCCTTCTATCTGACGTCAAGAAGAAGTATAAAGAAACTTTCGGCATTGTTAAAACTTTTGACATACTGACAGAAGAAATAGAAGCTACGAAATTGTTTAGAATTTCAAATATACATCGTACAATTCATGTAAAACGCTTATAAAATAACTGGGGTGAAAAATTAGGTGAAATCTCACCTCTTCACCTAAAATATATTTTTACTGAATTCAGCAACAAAAATAATGAATTTCATTAGTTAGAAAAATAACGCTAATTTTATTTTCTAAGAAAATTTTTTATTTTGTATGTAAAGACAGTAATGTCAAACATTGAGTTTGAAACAGTTAGAAAGATTGACAATGACACCAAAGTGGTTAGAATAGGTGATTTAAACGTAAGATACTCAAAGAAATACAACAAATATTCTTTGTCAGACATTATATCTCCATCTGAAAAGAAAACAAGCGACTGGGTTAGAAATGCTTCAACTCAGAAAATTTTGACAAGAAATCCTGAGCTTATGATATCAGTAGCATTTCATGGAACAAGAGCATATCTCATTGACAAAAGTCTTATACCAATAGTTTTGTTATGGTTAGACCCAGTTGTTGGATATAACTTCATAACATATGGTTCATTCGACTCAGAACGTTGCAGTGAAGGCTTACTTTACATCGTTCAGAAACCGAAGGACTTCAATACAAAGAGATATAAGATAGGAAGAACATATAATATAACTCAAAGATATGACAGTACAGTCAATAGAGTCAAGGTTGTGTTCGTTAATGATATGAGAGCTGCAGAAACAGAACTACTTGAAAAGTTTGAGAAAAGGTATGGTGCTCCCATGAAAGGTAAAGAAACGTTTGAAGTAGATGAGATAGATAAAGCTATAAAATTATTTGACGAAGTTGCTGAAAAATACATGTAAAGCGTTTATTTTTGGTCTTTTGTGAAAGTCAGAAAATAAAGTTAGTTTTAAAATTATTTTTATTTTGTATGAAATGACAGTAATGTCAACATCAGAGAAGAATAGATGGTAAACAAACATGGTATTATGTTTTGAAAGAAGAAATGAAAGGATTATATAAACAGGTTGAACCAAACGATAATGAGGATTCATTTACTGACGATGAAATACCTGTAAATGAAGCTTTATAAAGTATGATTTGAATTTATTTTTGCCTTCCCCTGCTGTGTTGTCAAAATGTCATGTTGTCTCATTTTTTCAGAGAAGTTAAATAACCTGGTGACCTGGTGACCTGGTGACACCTTCAGTTCTTCAAAAATAATTAATTATTGAATAACCTGAAAACATTAACGATAAAATATATTTTTGGTCGTTTATGACAAATTTTTATTTTTATCATAAATGGATACCCCACAAGCTCAAAATTTACCACGAATCATAACAAGGGAGGAAATGATAAAAATGATGCAAGAACGAATTAAAAATAACAAACCACTAAAACTGAGAAAATGTGGTTATGCAGTAATGATGGAAAGAGAGATGTTGTCAAAGAAAAATAAAAATTAAATTTGGATTGAGTTTAAAAATTCATCTTTATTAAATTCATCTCTTCCAATCAATTTATTTATTCTATTAAATTCTTTTATTTTTGCTTCACTCAGTTTAATGATTGAACGATAAGTTTCTAATTTTTCAATTATTTCTTTATCGTTTTCAGTTCCATTAGTTTTATGGGCATCAACCCCACCGCATTGTGGCTTCTTTTTGTAATAGCATATTTTTGATTTAATTCTGTTTAGTTTCTTTTTATATTCATCGTCTGGACTCTTGGACGCTTTGTTGTCACTCATTTCTTACGAAATAAAAAAAAATTAAATATTATTTAAATATAATGGAGTAATAAAATAAATCGGAATTTCTATTAATTTATTGTCAACTTCAACTAATGCATTACCGTTAATATATCTAACAAATTCAGCTATTGTGTCAAATCTTCGTCTTCTTTTTGTCATTGATTTATCAGTTTTTCCATAATCGAGATGAATCAAAACTTTATCCCCTTGTTTAAAATTCATGAGCCCCGAATTAATTTGTTCACGTTTAACATCATTCAACCTTTCCATTTGCTTTCTAATATATTCCCATTCTTTTGAAATATCATTTTTCATTTCCACTGGTTTCATGTTTATAGTTCTATGCCATGTATTATTGTAATAATATACTAACTGTTGTATGATGGAGTCATGATTTCCATCCCAGTATATCTGACCGTTAACCCCTAACGCATCTCTAAGAGTTCTCATTACCGCATCAACTATTTTATTATGAAACGTATATGGAGAAGATGAGAAGTAAAAATTAATTTGTGGGAAATAATGAGTCATAGTTGCCTGAAATCCTTTATCACCATCACCCCTTATATTATCTACTCTTTCATGATCTAGTAAGTATTGAATAGCTCTTCTTGTTTCTGTTCTGTTTTCCCTTTCACTGGAATGCAATATAAATATCTAGTGTTAATGTTAATGGCAAATAAATAAGTAACGTTTCCTTTTGAATATTCTAAATGATCGATTTCGTATGAATATGGATATGGAGCAAATGAAGGGCGACTAAATTTTTCCTTTAACGGTTGAATTTTCGGGTCAATTGGTTTATTTAATATCTTGAAACCCTTTTAAAATCTTTTTGTTTCTTTAATGTTTGAAATGGATATAATAAAGTGAATGATGAAGGATTAACTGAAGGAGGAGGCGGTACTGTCGTTGGAGGTTTTGGTATTGCAAGTGGTTTAATTTTATCTGCTTTGATTTTGGATGATGAAGTTTTAGTTGTTGATTTTCCTTTCATTAATTCTGGATGTATTCTATTCATTTGTTTTAAATATGCTGTATATAAAGGTTTGATATACTTTCCCGCTTCGAGTTTATGTTGAAGGATGAATTCCAAAAGTTGATCTTCATTTAAAAGTCGGGCTGAATATGGTTTAACTAATGAATCATAAATTAAAGCTTGTGCATCATTTATGGTCTGAAGGACCTGGGCGTTTTGTTCCTTTAGCTGTTGAACATTTGCTACTTTAGACCTCGGCTTTGGCTTTTGTGGCTCAGGATTATATAAATTATATAATCCATCAATATCTTCTTCTGTTAATACTTTATTTTTGAAATCTTTCAACTGTTTAAGTTGTGATTTAGTTTTTCCCTTTGTATATTCATTATTTTTAATTTTGTCTTTAATTTCAGAAATTATTTTATTATGATATTTCAAAATTTCATTTTTATAATATGGATAATAATATTCCATATCATCACCCGTTATATTATTATGTTTTTGGAGATATGATTTTAATTCATAATAACTAAGAAAATTTTGATTAAATACTAAATCATCAATTAAAATTTTTAAATCTACGTTATCCATTTATATAAAAATAAAATCAATGTTTTAAGGGTGCCCACCTCTTTGAATCATAGTATCAAAACCATCATTAACGGTTCCTTTTGTCTCTTCTGTGGCATTTCATTAAAAATAAAATTTTAAATTGTATTAAATAAATGGCATACAACATCCATTTTCACAACATACGGCCTTAGTGTGTGCTCCTGTTAATGCAGTCTTACCGATTGTTAAGCGAGTCATTGACCCGTTTTTAAGTTGTAAATTAATATTCTGACCATCAAATATCACTTTATCATTTATTATATCCAAATATTTTTTAGATGTTAATTGCTTATTTTGTCGTAAACTAACACCTTTCATTTTTTGTGCAATCTTTTTAAAATCACTTCCATCAATTGAACCGTTGAATGATGTATAACATTTAGGACATAAAGCAACCATGTTATCACCTTGTTTCTCAATTGCTAAACCCAATAATTTTTTCTCATGTGCTTTTTCTTCAGCTTTATTCTTTAATTTAGGTTTAAATTTCTCATCAAAACAGAAGAAATCAAATGGTGCGAATTTGAAAATGTTTTTATCATAAAATTTTTTATCGGTAACAATTGCTTGAAATGCTTGAGTGTTAGGAAGATTTGGGTCGCCAGCGATTGCCCAATAAGATGAATCAGTATCACCTTCAATGAAATGAAAACGATTAACATCCATGCATTTATACATAAAATCATAAATGAAAACCAAATACCAGTATTTAGCATTATCTAAAGTGAAGAATGCCTCTTGTAAACACGTATCACATCTATAAAATCTATCTTTAAGCATCACTTGATATGTATCTTCACCTATTTCTCTTATGTTTTTAAACTTATTTGACATACATGCAACGCGTGCCTTCTGTGCATTCATTATTTTAGTCTTTGCGTAATTTTGTGTATTCATTGTAGTGATGCGAAAAATTCCCAAACATATGGGGTTTCTCATATCCCGTCCCCTATCGTTTCCCCAATTCAATTTTTTTTGGAATTTTATTTTTTTCCCGCCCATTTGAATTATAGATCCGTATTTTTCCCAAGTGAGCGGGGTATCTCCAATCCCAGCCCTATCGTCCTCCCAGTGTCAGTTTTCAATATAAAATCCAAATTTTTTTTGAAAATAAAAATTTCGAGAAATTTTTCTAATTTTTTTTCTTTGATTTCAATAATTCAAAATAAATTTGGGAGTAAAAAGACGCTATTTAATGAAATTCATATGAGTGAATGTGGATAAATACTCTCAAAACATACAATTTATCTATTTTTTCTTTATATTATCAACTAATTAGTGATAATTTTTTTTGAATCAGATTTTTTTTCATTAAAAACATAATATATAACACAACAATGATGCACACATACGTATCTACACATCAAAATATAAAGCTTGTTTTGGTCTGGGCATCCCAACCCAAAATTCTTTAAAAATTGAATAAAATTGAATACTTGGGGCTGGGATACCCATCCCAAAACCGAATTGAATTTTTTGAATTAAAGAATATATTTATGTATTTATAATATACATGTGATGTCTATAAAAAATACTAAATTCTAAAAAAAATTCAATTTATTCAAAACGTATACTAAGTGATCACTTCATTAGTAGGATCAGCAATCCTACTAAATGGTGAGAACGCCACTAACTCAAAGGGAGTCCTTGGAGCTCTTGATCTTGTCAGTAGAGTTCATAATGAGGCATGGCATCTACTGATTAGAGATCAGAGCAATCCTACCTTACCTTCAGGAGCTACAAAGCTCCTAATCGTTACGAGAGGGAGCCTTGGAGCTCCTGAAGCTCATCAGCAGAGGCTATTTACCATTTGGGCCTCTTCTGATGAAAGATGCGAAACACGTCTACGAACCAGGAGCTTCAAAACTTCTAATCCTTACTAAAGGGAGCTTTGGAGCTCCTGAGTCTCCATCAACAGAGTCCCAGATGGTAAATGTCCTTTGCTGATGAAAGATGCGAAACACATCTACGAACCAGGAGCTCCAAAGCTCCTAATCCTTACGAAAGGGAGCTTTGGAGCTCCTGAAACTCCTTTTACTATAAAATAGGACAGTTTTCTTCTGAGGTTCTCATCAAATCTAAGACTTCAGAAGAAAGCTGTCCTATCAATGTATACTTACACTCTCATGGACTACAAGTGTACAATTTTAAGGCAGAGATTATCCGAGGCCTCTCATCAAATGAGGGACCTCGGATAATCTCTACCTTAAGTAGTCAAATAACTTTTCTCACTATTTAGGAACAAAAGAACAAGAGTTGGAGTACTTTAAGGCAAGATTCTTCCGAAATCTCTCATCGAATGAGAGACTTCGGAAGGACCTTGCCAAATCCTTGAACGCCAATATCCTTGGAACTGAGCTAGAACCAGGGAGAAGTAGCATACTATAGAGCACGATGGTAATCTCGGAAATGCTTATATCGCCCCAAGCACAATATTTAAGAAGTCTAACTCATATATACAAGAAGTCAGGCTGAATAGATATTGTGCATATGGTTTGCAGAACTCTCATGATATTTCAAATTCATGTTATCCCAAAAAAGGTGACACTTTGGGTGTATCGTCCATCCCAGGGATGCAAAAATCACATCACCTTGGATCTATATTTGAATTAAAAATGGGCGATTTTCGTTAATGTGATTGAAATATCATAAAATTAATACGTATTTTAGCTAATAATTCTATTTTTCTACAATATTCTCTCATTAAATCAACATTTTTTTCTAATTTTAATTTTTAATTTTTAATTTCTTCATAATTTTAGCGATTTATGCTCATTATTAGCAAATAAATAATATATATAATATACTTATTTCATTTTATTCAGATAGGTCTTTGGGATTGGGATACCTTGTCCAAATTCAGAGGAAGTTTGAGAGGTTGGGATGGGGTAGCCCATATTCAATTATCCCAAGTGTACTCCACGAATTTAAAATTATATTATATTATTGATGACATATCTAAATTTATAGATAAAAATTTCAATGCGTACACAATTTTTTTTGAGAAAATTCTTTTTTTTTACTTATTTTCATTCATAAAAGCTCACGTGAACTTAATTAACAACTGAGACATTTCCTATGAAATCATTTAATGCCGTCAAAATAGACATGTCTAAGCTGTTTTGAGTGACTTTCGCTCGATGTCTGATGCAATATCAGACATCGAGCGAAAGTCTCTCATATTGGCAACACATCCATACGATCAATACTATAGCTACGAATTACAAGCCTGTTTGGGCAATTTTTGGCCGAGTTCTGATTTTTCATTAGATCTCGAGTGAAAGTCTCTCAAATTGGCTGCCAGTTCATAAGAGTGAAACTCTAGCTACGAATTAGAAGCTTGCTTGAGAGACTCTCGCTCGCGTTGGGATCTGCATCAGAACTCGAACGAAAGCCTCTCAAAGTGGTAAGACCTGCTCATTGTTGAGCAGGAGCTGCGTAATGTGTTCGAGTAGAGTGAGGCTCTTCTAAGATCTTCCTTGTGATTGGAAGAAATTAGAAGAGTCTCACTCTACTATTTTGTAATTGTATGCCCTGGCCTTTGAGTGACCAGGGTTGCGTAATGTGTTCGAGTAGAGTGAGGCTCTTCTAAGATCTTCCTTGTGATTGGAAGAAATTAGAAGAGTCTCACTCTACTATTTTGTAATTGTATGCCCTGGCCTTTGAGTGACCAGGGCTGCGTAATGTGTTCGAGTAGAGTGAGGCTCTTCTAAGATCTTCCTTGTGATTGGAAGAAATTAGAAGAGTCTCACTCTACTATTTTGTAATTGTATGCCCTGGCCTTTGAGTGACCAGGGCTGCGTAATGTGTTCGAGTAGAGTGAGGCTCTTCTAAGATCTTCCTTGTGATTGGAAGAAATTAGAAGAGTCTCACTCTACTATTTTGTAATTGTATGCCCTGGCCTTTGAGTGACCAGGGCTGCGTAATGAATTCGAGTAGGATTGTACAATAGCTCGGCAAACGCCGAGCAAATTGATATAAACGTACATCCCACAAAAATGGATTGTCAAAATTTATCCCAAATTTTACAAAACCGCAGCGGTTATGACATCCCAGGGCTAAAAAAATTCGGAAACTCGCATCTCTATTCATTGCATCGTAACCATATGATCCATTAAGTGAAATCTTACAAAATAAACTTTTTTCTTTATTTCCTTCTAATTCAGCCTTTTGTCTTTCGTTCATAAATTCGTTCGCAAATTCATTAAAACAAGTGTTTTTCGTAAATGTTAAAATTGATTGAATGTCATCAATGATAAAATGAAATCTGTCGATTAGATACCAAAGATAATAAGAAGAAAATGGTTGATATTGGTTGTGTGTTGATGCTAACTGAGTTAATTTTCTCTGTTTCTGGTCAACTGGTAGATTGTTTGATTTCATGTAATTATACATAAAACTGCCAATTGTTTTTTCATCTGTGATAATATCTAAGTTTCTTATTATCGGTAAAAAGTTTATGTAATCATTAATGTATTTTTCATCAATGTGACCCTTTACTTCAGCCACGAATAAAGTATTTTTCTTCTTAATTATTCCCAGTGCTTTTGCTTTCTTTGTTGCTGTATCACAAATGATAACACCATTCAATCTTCCCGGCATATACATTTTATGGTCAGTATATTGAATGAAATCATGAGGATTAGATGAAAATGATGAAGGATATAATGAATTAAAATCAACACCAACGAAATGAGTCATAATGTTGGTGGTGTCCTCATTTGATACAGTTTTAGTTTCTGGATTATATGCAAGTTTATTAATGTGCGTGATTCCTTTAAGATTTACTCTATGTTGAACATTTGATAAACCACCAGTAATTCCATTACGGAGAATGTGATAAGCTTCAACTGAATCTAAAGTCATTGGTAAATTATTTTTTAATGCATAATTTCTTAAATTGATTCTTAAACGTTGAACATCTTCATCTTTATTTGATTTCACGACATTGCAATAACAACACATTAACTGACAATTTTCTTTGGTATGTGGTTTTTCATTATCGATTCTATCCAATGTTGGTTTATTTCCATATGTAAACGCTTTACCACACATTTTGCATTTAGATGAAAGGATTAAATCGTGATAGTATTGAAAATCATCCATTGAAACATTATTTTTAGTATCCCTTTCTGCTTTTTCATCTTGTTTCTTATATGATTCAATTTTATATTTCCAATACTTTTTCGTTAATTCAAAACTTGATTCTATCTCTTCCTCAGGATATTTTTCATTAGGATTAAAGTCTTTATATGCTAAAGCGTAACGAATCATTGAAGCATTCGATGATAAAGAAAGATTATGAAGCGTGTCAATTTTATAAACAAATGTTTCTTCAATAATTTTATCAATTGGGTCAATCATAATTTCAACATCTTTATTGCAATAATGAATAAAATATTCTAATCTATTCTTAAAGTTTTTAGCATCATTGAGATATATTTGATAATCACTATCTGATATAGTTTCTTGGGTTAATGCTGAATAAAATGAATCTTGAGTGAATGGTTCCACTTTATATAATTCTTCTTCGTAATTCTCCCATGTGATGAATTGATAAGGGAAAAAGGATTTAACACGTGATTTATTATTTCCGAAATCTTGAGTGAATTGGTCTAATGTCCCACCCGCTATATAATTTCTGATGTCAATAAATCTCAATTCATATGGAACGTTTGTTTTCTTTACAATGATTTGCTTAAATTGTGAAGATGAACCCAGCATTGATTTTATTTTCCATTTTGCAGTGTTTAAATCACGAAGAATTAAATTTAAATCAAACTTTCCCGAATTAAAACCTATGATATTCACTTTATTGAATTCCTCATCTAGAAGTTCTTTAAATGCTTCCTTCTGTTTTTCATTTAATGTTTGCGACTTCATTAATTCTTCATATTGTTCAATATTTGATTTAGCAACTAATGAACAGGTTGAAAATAAAAACTCAATCCAATCAGAAATAAAAGAATCACTCGAAGTTAAGCAAAAATTCCTCGTATATGTTTTATCATTTAATTTAACCGTTGATGATACCATGAATGGTTTTAAGTAAGCGTTCAAAGTTGCACACTCAGAAAGTTGTAATTCTTCTTTAGTCTCTAATGTTTCGAAGTCAAAAGTAATATAATATCTTGTCGGTTTATAATATTTCTGCAAATTGTGAGCTAATAACCACTGATATATCTTCTGTTTCGTAATATGTGGTGCATATGGTTGCTGTATCTTTTGCAATTGAACGTCTTGAATTAATCTTCCATTATTTTCTTTACATTTCTCACAATGCTTTAAAAATCTTCTTTGGTTTTTCCTTTCTGGATCATCACGGATAGAATAAACTTCTTCTTTACAATATGGACAAACTCTATAGCCGGTGAGTGCTTCAACGTCTGTTATTCTGTCAGCGTGAAGTTTTCCATTTGGACTCTGTGTTAATAAAATATTTATTGTTTCAAATTCTGGATCTATCATTATTGAATCCACTAATGGAAAGTCTACCTTATTTATGTCCACGTCTTCTGGTTGAGGATCACAATAATAGAAATCAATATTAACATTTAACATTCTCGCTAATCTCTCACTTTCTGATGAAATGTCAAACCCTTCATATGCATCTATTGCTTCATTTAAATAACTTCTACGAGTTTTAGGATTAACACCATCAGGAATGTTATAGAAGCGTTTAAATAACCTTCTACCTTCTGCTCTAATTTGATTATCATTCATTTTAGTTGTTCCATTTTTGTTCATTTATGTAAGAATAAAAATTAAAAAATAAATAAAAATAAAGTTTATTTTTTAAAGCCCATAAAATGAATTAAGAACACATAAATAAAAAAAAAAGGGTAGTGGGGCCTCCAGGCACTTCGTGCCCTCTAGCCCTGAAGATGTTTAGTATAACTTTGTCCGGACAAGTAAGGGTCTATCGTCGCTACAGGAAAAGTTACAGGCGTTCCACGGAAGTATACTTTGAGAAGCCTTTTCTGTCACTTTTCGGGTAAAAACATTTTTATTATTATATATAAATGAATTTTACAAAACCACCGTTACCCTTCTTTGGAAATAAGAGTAGATGTAAAGATATTCTATTGAGAGAACTTAAGAAACTACCGAATGGTCTAACATTTGTAGATTTGTTCGGTGGAAGTTTCTATATATCCCATTTGTGCCAGACAATATTCCCAGACTCAAAGATTATATGCAATGACTTCGACAACTATATGGACCGTCTCAAACATATACCAGACACAAACAATATATTGAAAGAGTTAAAAGAAAAGATACCTATAGGTAAGATGGAACGTATACCATTAGATGACAAAAATATTGTGAGAGAGGTTTTTGAAAAAGCAGAATATATAGACTGGGATAGTATATCTGTAGACTATTATATAGTGGTTCTATAAGAGTTCATGACATTGAAACACTTATGTCAAAAGTTTTATATCTTAACTATACAAATGTTTTCAAAGAGGACATAGAAAAATATATTGAGGGTATAGAGTTTGTGAGATGTCGTTGGACAGAGTTGTATGAAAAATATAAAGACAAGGAAAATGTTTTCTTTATAGTGGACCGCCGTTCTATAACACATGCGATTTTCAATACCAAGTAGACTGGACTTTGAGAGACTCTTTAGAAACTTTAGACGTTTTACATAACTGTCATGCTTTTACTTTACATCCGATAAAAGTGGTTTGGAAACCGTTATGAGATGGTTAGAGGACATACATGCCTATGAGTTTAGATATGACAAGATAGAATATGAGAGAGGTCCTATAAACCGGAGAAAGTGTCATAACAAAGAAATTTTACTAGTAAGTAAATGTGGTTTGAAATAGGACCTACTTGTTTTTAGGTTTTTCCATTGTGTCATTTATTTATTTGACGTGGCAGAAAGGTACAGAGAATATGAAGATGAACCAATGCCTGCAAATGTTCAGCATATGTACTCGTAAGAGATATTTTTATCTAATATAAATGGACGCACAGAACTAGCAAATGCACAGCAACCTGGACAACCAAACCCAGAGAATATTCCAAATGAAGTTAGAATACAAACTGCAATGGCAAACTATGGTCAAGTGCCAACAGATGTACAAATGCAAACTGCCATGTCAAATGACGCTGCGTTAGGTTTGCCACCATGGTATGCAAATATGAGATGGAAGAGTTTATACAAACCCTGAAGTGGGATATAAACAACTTTATGCAGATGACGCGAACACAGGATTGACCCAGAATATGTTTTCTACAGAGGAGAAACAGAATGTATGAGCTCCAGTTAAAGAATGCTATGGAACTCAACAGGAAACGTAAGAGACTAGGCGGACATTAGATTTTTACATATAGTAAAATGGGTTTCTTCAGTAAGATAGGAAACTTCTTTCGAAATGTTGGAAGAGGTATATGGAATGGAATAAAAACCGTAGGAAGAGGAATTTGGAACGGAGTCAAAAATATTGGTAAAGAGTAGGTCAGTTCGTTGGTATTATACCTAAAGACCCTGAACCAGAGAACAAGCTCCTGTTATACAACAGCCTGAACCTGCACCACAGTCTAGTTGGCAACCAAATCCAACACCTCAACCGTATTAAAAAATTATATTTTTACCGTTCGATAGTAGTTGTATATGAAACTAAGTTCTAAGTAAAACGCATGGTATAATGGAACTATTCTCTTTCTTCCATCTGTTGTAAACCATACTTGAAAGTCTGAAATACTTCCACTCGGTGGTTCATATAGCTTTGTAGGTTTTTCGTAAAAGTCATTTGCCAAGCATAAAAAAGAGTTTTTGTGCACCAGAAAATGAAGCATGAACGATAATAGCATCTGAGTCGAAAACATTTTCATATGTTCCATTAGGGTTTTCGACTTCATAAAAGTCCGGTGTACTGGATATTCTGCAGGCTGATTTAACATCCTCAAAAATCTATACCATGCCAAGTTGTTATATTTTGTAGAAATATAAACGTTTTCTCCAAGGTCTTCTATTCTATTGATTTTAACAGTTGCATTTTTCCTGTCATATATAATATCGAGATGGTACTCTCCTTCGTCAATGTTATACTGCTTTGGCATATTCGATATAGATATCGTTTATTTTTTCTTGAAAAGCTTGAAGAGTTGTTTCTAAGTTTACAAGCAAATTCACTTGTAAAAGTTTTCCCTGTTCAAATTTCTCATACATACGTTTTTCTTTGTTATAGTATCGAACTTCAAAACCGACCGTAAATGGGAAACCATGTATGGCTTCTGAAATGAACTTCATTCTACGAAAAGCCAATAGCTTTTGTGACGGATGGGTCTCTTAACTCTTAACGGGTAGTCAAAACGATAGCCTTCATGCTTTACGGTCTCTGTCTCAAACTTTTGACCGACATTGGTAAAAAGTTCATCTAATGGTTTAGTTGTAGCAACTCTAGAATTTTCTTTTTCTATTGAAAGCATATTTTATCTAGAATAAAAATGTCAAATGAAACAGCGTCTATGAGAGAAATACAACACAACCGACAACTCATTATACAAGCTCTAAATAAGACACAACAAACTTTTCAAACTATTCTAAGATATCTGAGTCATTGAAAGAAGGAAACTTAAAACTGACATTAAACCCAATGACAGATGAGTTTCTATTTCAAGACAATAAGAACCATACTGTCTGTATAAATCCAACAAAAGGAACTTTAAACGAGAAACCTATAAATGAACTTCTTTTGAAAGCAGATGTTGGCAACAAAGCTGACAAAGAATATGTAGACGATGCAATAGCAAAAGAAGAAGAAAGAGCTAACAAAGCTTATGCAACAAAAGAACATACTCATCCTGAACTAGCAGACAAAACATATGTTGACAATAAAATGTCAAGTGAAGTGACAAGAGCTGAAAACGAATATTCTAAAAAGACTCATACACATACCATTGCAAATATTACAAACTTACAAGAAACCTTAAACAGGAAAAGTGCCGTTGGACATACACATACCATTGCAAATATTACAAACTTACAAGAAACCTTAAACAGGAAAAGTGCCGTTGGACATACACATACCATTGCAAATATTACAAACTTACAAGAAACCTTAAACAGGAAAAGTGACGTTGGACATACACACGATTTCTTCGCAACTGTTGGTATAGAAAATATTGCAGGAACGGTTGAAGAAACTGGTGGGGATGCATTATATTGTAAACCTCCTAACTTTCCACAAGGTTTAACATCGGATGACGACATAACGACGATGAAAAACATTAGATGTAAAGATGTTTATGTCATGAAGGATGAACATAATATTAAATTCACTGCTCAAGATTTATATGACAAGAAAGCAGACAAAACAGAGCTTCAAACATTAAAGACAGAAATACTTCAAACATTATATCCTATAGGCTCTATTTATACGTCAATGAACTCTACCAGACCAGAAACAGTTCTGGGTTTTGGAACTTGGACTCAAATAGTCGACAGGTTTTTGTATTGTGCAAACTCTTCAAAGGAAAAGGTGGAAGTAAAACGATTTCAGGTGAAAATTTACCTGCGCACAGTCACTACATAGATTTAAGTACATCTCAAGCAGGTTGCATAGTCATAGATATTGGAATTGGTCAGCAATGACAAAAGGTAAAGGATATGATGTTAAAGACAACGTTCAGTTTGCTATAAATTGTTACTGGAGTAACACTGAGGGAGGAGGAAACCATACACATCGCGTTTCGGGATATACGCAAACAACGGGACAAAGTAAAGACTACATGCCACCTTACATGACAGTTTACGCATGGTATAGAAATGCTTAGTCGTCATTTTCAACTTCTTTAGCATATTCGTCAGGAGTTGTCTTATATTTGTTAGGAACTGTCTTTGAAAGTATACCACCTTGAACTTTGACAAGTTTGAAACGAGGTCTGACAATAGTAGTTTTATCTTCTGCTTGCAGTGTGTACATTTTGCATGTTTGCCTAAACTTCATAATATTCTCTTGTATACTTTCTTCTATTTTTACGAACACGAATGTGAGTACCTGTCGGGTTCCCATTGTTGTCATAGTCAATAGTATTTTCATATGGGTCGCGTTTAGGTATTTCTATTTTTACTTTGTCACCTTTCTGAAGTTTGAAGCCCGGCATTCTTTCTTGTTTGTCTCTTTTGACTAAATTATTAAATATATAGTCTTTCTCTAAGTCAGGGTTGTTTTTCATTTCTTCGGGGGAGTGGTTTCCCAAACCTTTTTGTTTACGGTTATTGTAAATATTTAAAAACTTGTCTCATCTTTGCCATGGAGAAGTGTCTATACTTGTCGTCATATGACATTTCATTTGCTTCACCACCTTGTGGTTGGTTTAAGTCTCTTAACATTTTTATAACAACCGTCAATGACACCAAGAGCAGAATGGTTTTGGTCGACAATGAAATATTGGTTTACATTTTTTGAACGCAGATAGTTTTTAATATCGTCTGATTTGAAAGAACTTTCACAGTCAGATGTCAGTTTTGTTGGATGGTATTTGTCAACGAATATTGTCAAAGCAGTTTTCACATCTAAAATATTTTTGGACCATAATGGTATGGCTTCACAGTATCTTGTGTTTTGACCGACAAATATTAGCCAAAATGGTGGTCCATCTGTTCTAACTCTCGGAATGTTTTCCAAGATATCCATAAACCAAGCATTTGGTGTTGAACTAAAGATTTTTACCATGAGTGCTTTCTTTGTCGCTTTAGAAACATAGGGGTCCTTGTTTGGATTCGTCATTTTTTAACCATAAGAAATGGGTTTATTTGGCGCATTAGCAGGAGTTGCATCCAGATTTTTGCCGCAGTGGGAACAATAGCCAGAGGTGTATTTGGAGTTGGAAGGAAGATTTTGAGTACATTAGGTATACTTAAAGAGAAAGCACAACCTATTATACAAACTGTACAGAAAGGTTGGGATGTAGCACGAGATGCAACAAATCTTATTCCAAATCCTGAAACAAGAGGAAAAGTTCAAGGATGGATGGACAATGTAGGAAGACAAGCAGGAAACTATTATAACAAAGCAAATGACTACTATAACCAAGCAGGACACTATATGGACCAAGGTGAAAGATTCTTTAACAGAGGATATAACCATGCCACAACAGTGGGTAAACAATAACCAACCTCAACCACCTCAAACGTGGGGAATGTAAAGTTTTTTACTGAGATGAAATGAACAATACAGCATTGAGACAAATGGGTTCAAGATGGATTTGTCGACTTCCAGCAGTTACACAACGTGTTTGTCAAGTTCTTCCTATACCTCAGGAAGTTTTAGACCGACTTAAAAAACCTAAACAACCAGTTGAAAACAAACCAAACTAAAATTTTTTACTGAGATGAAATGACCGAAGAAGTTGAAACGGTAGATTTGACACCACAAACAAAAAGTTCAGAACCATTGTCAAAACCTGTCAAAGAACTTACAGATGAAGAGAAAATTCAATAATAGAAAGTGCCAGGTCTGGAAATACAAACTCTAACTACAAAGTCACTTTCATAGAAATGGAACGGCAAGTATCTCAAAAAAGAAACAGACTCTCACAAATAAAATATTGAAGTCTGAAGGAGCTTTCGAGACAACAGATGGAAAAGTTTACTTCACTGACCAACAGTTCATTATAGAACATCTCATTGACTTAGAGTCGAAATATTCTAAACTTTACAACAAACACAAAAAGTTGAAAGGAAAACAAAAACAAATGGCATATGATATTTTATGAAGATGTTGACGACACAACTGTTCCTGCAAGTGAAGTAAAGTCAAAGGAACCGAAAAGTGACGAAAAAACAGATAGAAGAAGAGAAACCAAAAACTGAAGATAAACCAAAACCAAAGTTTAGTTTGGAAACTAAACCAAGTCACCTTCATTAGCTGGTATGGGTTGGCGTCAAAGATTATGGCAGCAGGCGGTTATGTAAAGTAAAGAAAAAAATATTTTTTTATTTTTATAAAAATGCCCCATATAGAATGGACAGAAAGTCTGCTAGAATAAAAGCAGAGTTACAAAGATATGGTTGGAGAGTTTCGAAGAATTTTAAATATAGGAAGGGAAGACCCATAAAAGTCTATGACAAATTGTCTGGTCTTCGCTACGAAATGGATTTGGAAACAGCACGTGCAAATTATCCAAACAGACTAGAGAGGTTAGAAGAAGAACGTCTTATGGACATGCCTTTCGATGTTAGTGAACCTCAAGTTGAAGGACACGACGGCTTTGCCAGATTCTACTGGAAACATGACGAACAATTGCATCCTTTGAGAAGGAAAAAAGGAAAAGGTGAAGACGCACATGCTCCCATGGAAAGAACAAGATATGCATATGAAAAGTATCGTGAAGTTAGAAGTCAAATTACATCTGGTCGAACCTTTACAGTAAACTTTGACGAAGGAAAGAACAAAGAAGGCTTCATGGGTGTACTTGCTGCCATACAAGACGGAAATAAGAAAGGACACAATCTCAGATTGACCATAACAGATTTGGATGGTCACATTTACTATGCACATGGCAATGTCACAACAGCCGCACAACTTCTTGACGCTTTCAAGACTACAAAGAGAGAACAAATGGTTGACTCCGACTCAGACATTTTGAATGCAATTGAAGGAATTGCAAGTGTCAAGTTCGAATGGTACCAACCTAACCCTCAAGCAGTCAGACAACATGTTTGTTAGATGAGAAATATGAAATGGCATACCATTTTAAAACAATATATTTTTAAAAAAATATTTTTTTATTTTATTTGAAATGTACGCTGAGTTTGTTGGAGAAGACCGTTGGGAAACTTGTTTGTTAGATGAGAAATATGAAATTCACTGTTGTGAGTCATTTGAAGTCAGAAACAAAAAGACAAAAAGAGTTTTAAGCGAATGGGAGCGAAATGACGGATATGCTATTATGAATATGGGTGGAAAACACTATCTTAAACATGTTGTCATTGCAACTCATTTTATACTGAATCCTAACAATTTACCTTTTGTAGACCATATAAACCGTATAAGAAACGACAATAGACTTGAAAACTTACGTTGGGTCACTCGTTCTGAAAACAATAAGAACAAAGGCAAATTTGGAGATATTGTATTCGAATTTGTCGACGAACTAGAAGATGAAACAATTGAAATTACAGACTATGGCAAGCATACGTTTGAGTTTTACTACTATAGCGAAGAACAAGACTCTTTCTACTTTTATACCGGCGTAAACTATATGAAATTACAAGTATATTTTACTAAGGAAGGCTATGCTTATGTAAACACTAGAGATACAGATGGAAAATACGTTCAAATACTTCTTAACAAATTCAAGAAGCTATATGGCATACCATTTTAAAACAATATATTTTTACATATATTAAATGCTTCAGGTTGAAAAACAAAGAACAAAAGTAGCAGATACAAAACCGTTAGACTATATCTTTACAAATGCTGGTAGGACTATTTCAGATGAAGAAATTTCATCCCGAGTATACAGGTTTGACTATCCAGTTCGTTGGCTTCAAAGTCCTTCAGATGCAAAGGCAATAGGATTTAGAAGAGTTTTGTTTTCAAATAGAACTAACGCATTTATGTTCGCAGTATATTTTCATGGGCAGTATAAAGGTTCTGATGGTCTAATAGACAAATTTGATGAAATGAGAATCTTTACAGTTCGTTCAGACGAAAGTCTTGAGAAAACTCTAAATGACTTTCAAACTCAAATGAACAAATACTATTGGGAATTTCAAGAAAAATACGACTCTTTACTAAATGGAACATACTATCTGAAACTAGAATATGACAAGATGAACTCCACCGTTTCATTTCAAAAGATTGAAATTAACCCTCCAAGAGATACGGAGTTTTTATTTTGGGGAGTAGACAAACGTTCTTGGGCACAATTTCTTCGGTTACTAAACCAGAACGAACCATTACCACCAGATGGTCCATTTAAATTTATACTTCCACCAGCAGATTTGACAGTTTATAGAAACGTGTTCGACCCTCAAAATGTTATGTGCCATGCAAGTTTCAGTTCAAGCAACAATAGTTTTCTATGTATCGGTAAGGACTTTTATGACTTTGCTTCTAAATTCTACGAACCACCTAGTAACAGTTTCTCTGACTTTCAAGTTTGGTTCACAACAAATGGTGTGCAGCATATTATTCCATTGTACTATGACTTTTATCTCGAATTGTCTTTCATATACAACTACGGAAAAGTGCTGAAAAAGTATTGAAAAATATATTTTAGGGTAGATGTTTTTAGGTGTCACCAGGTCCCCAGGTCCCTCGGTCCCTCGGTCATTTTAACTTCTCTGAAAAAGTGTGACAACATGACATTTTGACAACAGTCCAGGAAATAAACTTCTTCTTCGTAAATGTTTTGTCATGACTTCTTCGTATATGTTTTGTCACCCGTTGAATTTTGTATAAAAAGCAACCGCCGGAATTCCGGCGGTTGGTATATTCTTCACAAAATGCTTGTTTTGTCAAGACTTCATCGTAAATGTTTTGTCATGACTTCATCGTACATGTTTTGAAGAACTGAAGGTGTCACCAGGTCCCTCGGTCCCTCGGTCCCTCGGTCATTTTAACTTCTCTGAAAAAGTGTGACAACATGACATTTTGACAACAGTCCAGGAAATAAACTTCTTCTTCGTAAATGTTTTGTCATGACTTCTTCGTATATGTTTTGTCATGACTTCATCGTAAATGTTTTGTCAAGACTTCTTCGTATATGTTTTGTCAAGACTTCTTCGTATATGTTTTGTCAAGACTTCATCGTAAATGTTTTGTCATGACTTCATCGTACATGTTTTGAAGAACTGAAGGTGTCACCAGGTCCCTCGGTCCCTCGGTCCCTCGGTCATTTTAACTTCTCTGAAAAAGTGTGACAACATGACATTTTGACAACAGTCCAGGAAATAAACTTCTTCTTCGTAAATGTTTTGTCATGACTTCATCGTACATGTTTTGTCATGACTTCATCGTATTCTTTCACCCGTTGAATTTTGTATAAAAAGCAACCGTCGAAATTCTGGCGGTTGGTATATTCTTCACAAAAATGCTTGTTTTGAGGTCGAGCCACTTTTGGCTCCACCGTATTTTTCAACCAAAACTCATGAATTTTCCCGAAATAAAAAATAAAGTTAGTTTTTTTTAAAAAAAATATTTTTTATTTTTATTGTAAGAACATGTTAGCAACAACAGCACCAAACTCGTTAGTCATGAACCCAACTTCAATGTTAGTAGAAATGAAAAGCTTCATTCCTCTTCATATACTTTCGAAACAGAAATCCAGAAGATAAAGCAAGAACTTCTCCAAGGAGATTTAGACTGTAGTGCAAAAGATGAAACAAATGAACAGTATCTTTATGAAATGCAGGACCTGGTGGAACATTTACCTAAACTTCCTGAAATACAACAACAAAAGCTTACTATTCCTGAATTCGATGAAATAGAAGTGAAACCAACTGACTCAGTTGAAATAAAGAAGTTCATACGTAATGTAAACTATGAGTTTCTTGGATTTCATTGCAACCACAAAGTCATGGACAAAGACTGCGATATGGTATATTTCATTGACATATATAAATCCGGGGAGTTTAAGACCTACGACAACTTTGTTTCGTTAGTTGCAAAATGTGTATGGCAGATAAGAGATAAAGATAGAAGAGGTAAAGTATGGAACGAACAGATAAAACCCGCAACTTTTGAGTTAAAGAAAACCATTTACGCCTTAGTTGTTTTAGCAGGTAAGGTTTCAATGTACAATGCTAAAATGAACCCACAATGTTCTAAATGTAAAGCAGCAATGAGGAAATATAACTACTCCGTCAAAGAGATAGAACGTATGAGAAACGACTATGCTGACTTAAAGAAAGAAGTAGAGAAACCAGCAGAAGATAAAATGGACATGTTGACATTTCTGAACAAAAACTATCCAACTGCTGACGATTTCCTTCTATCTGATGTCAAGAAGAAATATAAAGAAACATTCGGCATTGTTAAAACATTTGACATACTGACAGAAGAAATAGAAGCTACAAAACTGTTTAGGATTTCACGAATTCACAATGTTTACCATGTAAAACGCTTATAAAACTTTATGGTAGAAATATATTTTTGTCTGATTTACACTCATTGACGATGAAATCATGACAAAACATATACGAAGAAGTTTATTTCCTGTGTTGTTGTCAAAATGTCATGTTTGTCACCATTTTCAAAAAGATGTTAGTTGACCGAGGGACCGAGGGACCGAGGACCTGGTGACACCTAAAATATATTTTTGCTGAAAAAAATGACCAAAAATCATGATATAACTGTATTTTTTTGACGAAGAGAACTTTGACACTTCGTAAAAAAATCCCTGAAATCGTGAAAAAATGACCAAATTTCATGATATAACTGTATTTTTTTGACGAAGAGAACTTTGACACTTCGTAAAAAAAATCCCTGAAATCGTGAAAAAATGACCAAATTTCATTATATAACTGTTATTTTTTGACGAAGAGAACTTTGACACTTCGTAAAAAAAATCCCTGAAATCGTGAAAAAATGACCAAATTTCATTATATAACTGTTATTTTTTGACGAAGAGAACTTTGACACTTCGTAAAAAAAATCCCTGAAATCATATCTTTTATACAAAATTCATGAAGAATACGAGTGGGTTCAGTTTAACAAACAACTCCGTCTCATTCGTTCGGTCAAAGATGACATGTACCAAATGCAAAGTATTTTGAATGCTCTTCGTTCTACAAAGCAAGCACATCATTGGTTTGAAAACCAACAGACAAAAGAACTTTTAGAAGAATTTCCTCATATGTTTGCGACCCGAGGAAAACCGCGGGTCGAGATTCCGTACGAAAATCGTAAAAATTTGCTAAATGGTTTGAGAGGCTGGTATGTACATAGACTTCTTGTAAATGCTGTTGCAATGTGGGCTTCACCTCGTTACGCTTGTTATATTTTCATGATGTTAGATGAAATTCATAGACAAGAACGTGAAGAGCTAGAGAACAAGCTTGAAGCAAAAGACAAAAACATACAGAAAAGAATACCACGTTCGGTACCAAAAGGAAAGGAAAAGAACTATAAGTATATGATTTATACTGAAGAGATGGAAAATGAAGAAGACAGAGATATGGTTATGTTGCATTTAGTCAGAAGAAACAACAAAAGCTTTTACGACCTTGCTAAGATTTACAAATCTGACAGAAATTGGTTCTATCGCGAAAACTTACCGATTTCAATGACACCAAATGAAGATGTGAAACAAATAGTTCAAGATACTTTACCTCAAACACACTATGATATTAAAGGTTGTACAATACTTACCTTCAAAGAAGATTTGCCGCTACTGAAAGAAAAAATAACAGAGTATTTTGACAACTTCAAACAAGCAGAGTAAATGAACCATTTATTTTTCAAGCTTGACTTCAGATGGCTCAGGTAGCTCTATAAGGTAAATTGTCTTGTCAAATCCTTCTGGCATTCCGAGTCCTTCCATCCGACATTCCGAGTCCTTCCATCCGACAAGAAAAAAATTTCCCGACAACTGGAAAAAAATTTCCTGTTGTTCGTCCGTAAACCATTCAAATTTTCGAAAATTGAGAACTTTTTGGTCGAACGACAGAAAAAATTTTTCCTTCCGACAGAAAAAGTTTTTCCTTCCGACAGAAAAAAAT